TGTGGACTTGGTGTGTGTTTGTAAATGGAGCGCCATTTGCTGAGTGAGGCTAAACAAAAAAATGGATGTATGTTAATTACTTGCGTCCGGCGCTGGTATGCTGAGATTTTTCGCAGGTTTGCGCAGGTGCTTGTTGTTGTAATTTTTCTACGCGCTAATTTCGCAGATGTTAATTTTCAATTATGCCCAATTATTGCCTTTAGTCGAGCGCGGCGCAACTGATTGAAGCTCATGGACGATCGACATGTTTCCTCACACACACCACACTCATACATACATACATTTATAGAGTTACCGCCAACTAGTGTAGACGCGTATGCCTTGTGTAGCTCTGTAACCAGTGCACTTTAACGCCGTTTTGTGGTTTATGGCGCCCAGCATTTGCCTGTAACACAAAAAGCAGCTTTAAAGCGCCTAAAAGCGGATTTCTATTGTTGCATTGTTCGCTTGCGCGTTTTTAGGCTAGGCAATCGATCTTTTTGTCTATGTAATTTAATATTTTTTTTTAAGCGTTTGTGTGTTTACGTTTGTGGTCTACAAAAAAAATACACACACCTTTGAACACATTAGACCCCACCACCCTCATGCTAGCTGTCATTAACACTGCGTACACTCCCCAGTTTTGGCGTTTCAAGTAACTGAGTAGCAGTAAATTGAACGAGAAACGCTGCTAACGTTCGCTAACACAGCATATGGCGTAGGTATTTACTTGCGACGTTTGCTTACGTCATCAATATAAAGTTTTCGTAAAAACTTTATTCGTAAGCACATCCTTAATTCTTGTACTTGTACATACAACACAACACAGTTGTATGCTCTACTCAAATATTTAATGTTTTATGTTGCCATGTGCGCACATTTTTTCAATAAATAAACAGGCAGCGCATAGCATAATGTGCGGGAAGTGTAATCGAGAAATAACTAGGATAGTCACCTTTATGTGTGGGTGTGTTTAACCTTCAAATATTATTTGTTCTTCACGTTTTTGTTTTCTCGGATTTGCTTTCATTTCGAATTTTTCCCCAAATGTTACAAAAGTTATCCGTCATAATTTTTTTGGCTAATGATACATGCAACTGTATATAAATTTATGTGCAATATTGCATATATAGCATATACGAATCTGAGAACTCTAAGACCAGACAGGCTGATTGAGTGAACCTTTGGAACGTATAATTTGCTTTTGTAGCAATATGCAAAAGCATGAAAACATAAAATTGAATTGAATGAAGCATTACTTTTTTTTTACTTTTTTACTTTACTTTTACTTTAACTCTTGCTACATATTGCTACAGAGAACAATGTTGTGTGTTGTGTACGAGTATATATAAATGATCTGGTTAACGAGTCGAGTTGAAATCCGGGTGATTGGCTGTCAGTAACCACGCCCACTCTAAATATAACAGTTATGTTAAAAAACAAAAATGCGTAAACTCACTGAATAAATGCGCCACAAGCATTAAATTTCACAGCCAAGCGGGTAGAGAGGAGCTTTATAGCAGCAGTTGTAAAATTTTGACAATGGGCATGGTACCGCCCACTTTTAACATAGGTGAAATCTTATAAGGTTATCCAAGCATTTCTATTATAAGTTGTGAAAATGGGCGAATTCAGATGACACCACGCCCTTTTCTGATAAAATAAATTTTTAAATATCATCTGTTTTTTTTAACTTTACAGTATTCAAATAAAACATCAATGAAATTATCTAAATAAAACTTTTCACAAATAAAGCCCTCAAGGTATTTCATCTTACGCGCAAATTTCGTCAAAATCGAACTATAACTTTTCAAGGACCCAGAAACCAAATATGTTCCTCAGTGCATATGGATGTTTTTTACCGAACATACAGGTCAATCTGTGAGGTTTAGTATTGAAATTTTGGAAAAATATGTTTGTGAAAAAGCATTCCTTATGCCAAAAATGGGTAAAATCAGGTCAAGACTTTTCTTAGCCCCCATATGAAGCTAATATAAATATTTTCGAACTTCCGGTTGACTAGATTTAGAGAGTCTCTCTTTCTAATATCAGTGCATCATCAAGACCTTATAAGATGAAATCAGTGCAATATTTTCCCTAGTTGAATCTCTTAATTACTTTGTGTGCGAAATCATAGGCAATTCTGCTATGAAGTCAATAGGCAAGGCTTCTTTTAATTCAAACAATTTTCGATAAATTTACGTGTAGACGAATTTGAATATTGCATATTTTTTAATGTACACTACAGCAATTTCTTGTTTTCTTAAACTTTTTAATAGATTGGTGTTCGGTAAGATGCAGCTTTACTAAGCCCTTATCAACAAGTCAGTCAGATCTAGAAAAACGGAAAGAACATACTTTATTTAGACTAATGTTTTACACCACAATCATTATAACTCTAAATTTACTGAAGATATTTTTTGTTTAAAATATCTTGTAATCAAAAATTTTATTTATAAAATAATAACTAAAAACAAAAAGTTATTGTATTTAATTTATCAAATATCTGCTGGTAACGTTAAAAACTATTTTTCATACTAATTTTGTAGTGAATGGCAACTCTGCTTAAAATCAATAGCGATCACAGATTTTGTTTAGCTCGGCCTCTACACAGATCCCTTTTAGCTTTAAAACATGCATATTACAGAATCCGCATGATGAATAAACGTCCACTTTTCAAATTACTTTGTTCGGAGATTGAAAATATCACTGAAAATACCGAATATCACCGAATATCACCGAAAATACCGAAAAATAATTCTGGTAAATTTTGATATTAAATTAATATTTTATGATTTTAAGATTTTATTTAGTGAAAAAATATTAAAGAATATAAAAATTATCTTTGATGATTTAAAATTAGACTTTGATCTCAATAAAATTGACAACAAGGCGTCTTAGCAAAAAAATAATATTAGACATTTTTGTAGATCATTAAACTCCCTACATTTTCATTTTTACCACACAATAATTTGTTCCAAGCCATTAAACAACCAAGCTAAATAAGATATTATTTCTGCGTTCTATATATGGCAAATCAAAAACTATATAATATAAGTATAAATGTTACGAATATGATCTAAAACTCAGTATAATCTACATTCTACAAGTTTCAACCTTTTTCCTAGCGAATTTCATAAATCTTTAATACCTTTACTTATCAACTAATTTCAAAGTAATCTGAACTTTTACGACATTTAAATTGTTCTTTTACTTTTCGGTAGATTCATGTAGTATGTCGGTTAATTAAACTTTTTCGGAAAAAAAAAAATATAACCATAATATTTACTATAATTTCGGTTGAGGAGCGCAATAAAAAATATCGTCAAAGCATTTCTATAGAACCACAAAGTGTATTTCTAGTTTATCTCTCATACCCTGGTGCTAGTATATTTATATCTTATAGGTCACCTATAAGTTTTCTCAGCAATAATTAGTACACATATTTGTCTAATTTCCAACCAGGGCACATTAGCTCATAATCAAATGTCTCTAAGTACTTTCAATGTAACACTTTGTTGACAACTTCAACTACCTCCTCATCTAATAGGTACAAATCGTATGCGTATATACATATATTATTACACTCACATACTAGCTGCTTAACAGCTTTTAGAATATCATTTAAACGACACTTTGGCGCCTTGGACGCTGTTACCCGGTGTGTATTGGTGTCAGCGAAGCAACAACGGCACATGTTGCTCTCTCTCGTTGTCTATACATAACATACATTTTCCCTGTACTGGGATACAAATATCCTTTACGATGCGTAACGTGTTTAACGAGGTCACACCACATGGCAAATGGGCCGACATATATATGTATATAAATAATGAAAATATATACATATGTATGCACATACATATCTTTTGTCTTCGAGTAAAAGACGCATACCTCACTCGTAGCAGCTACCTAGATATATATCTATATACTATAGGATATTTAGGTAAGCCAACGTTTGTTTACTTATTTATGTGCTTTATGCAATTTAATTGTATACACTTCATGGTCAATTTTATAAGTTAGTGCTGCTTCATTGTTTCAGTGATATGTGCGGCTTACACATACAAGCCAATTTGAGTTGTTCTAGGTAGGGTTTAAATGTTGAAGGCAAAAAATATTTTCGAGAAACAACTAACTAGCTTAGTAGGTAGAATTATTATTATTAAAATAATTTCAGTACATTTAAATTGTTAAAATAGTCCGGCAACAACACTTAACGGCAAAAATGCAATGACACTGATTAATTGTTGATTTTCGATTACAAAACAAGTTGCCCACACTCTACTTAATAAATATTCAAATTAATACTGTAAGTTTATACATACATATGCATGTGCTTATTTCCTTACTTTTGTAAAAAAAAAAAACCTATAACAAACGTTAACCGACGCTAGAATACCCTTCACAAATTAAAAAGTTTCCATACAAAAGCTTGATTTCGATCGGTCAGTTTGTATGGCAGCTACATGCTATAGACCCTGAACAGTATATTCGAATATTGTAGCGTTGTTTTAAACAAGAATTCACGCCGAATTTCGTGGAGATTCCTTGTCAAATTAAAAAGTTTTCCATAGAAGGACTTAAATTTAATTGACAAATTTGTATAACTGCTATATACTATAGTGGTTCGCTATCGGCGATTCCGACAAATGAACAGCTTTTTGTGGTGAAAATGACATGTGCAAAATATACAATATCTTAATAACTAAAAGACTAACTCACATACTCGTATATACTCGTACAGATAGAAAGGCTAAATCAACTCAGCTCGTCACGCTGATCATTTATACTATATATGTTTTATAGGGTATCCGCTCTTTTCTGCTAGGTGTTATAAACTTCGTACCAAACTTAATATACCCTGTTCAGGATATAAAAACAAAAATTCAGCAACAATTTCATTAACGACACGTGTTGTGGAAGTCAAAGCTGAATTACAACTTTAATTTTGTGTATAATAACGCAACGAGGAAAAAATCATTAGTAAATAACAGAATAGATTAAATCAAATGAATTACCTTACACAGAATTTCATACTATTATATTAAAATTGAAGCTGACTTCGTTTGATCACACTGAGCTTGCTTTAATTTCGTGTCTGTATAACAAAAGTACGCACGTGTGTATGTACATATTTACTTTAAAAAAATATTGGTTATACAAAAAATGCCGGACAAAACTGGTTTTGTTTGTGTATTTACCATTGTAATAAGAATAAAAATCGTTGAACTTTAGTAAATTGATCGTTCGGAAAGATTTTGATGAAGTAGGATAAATGATTGTAGCTGTCTCGTGATATTTATTCTGCGGCTAAAAAGCAAACTTGAAAACATAAATTCAAATATCAAATATGAAACTTATAGCTTAAATTTTTTCATTTTGCTCACTCACACTATTTCTTTTATTTTTTACTGTTGTTATAATCTTCTCTTTAGAATTTAAACCAATTGAGTTTTATTGTCTTTTCGAGTCTTCTTAAAAAAATTTTTTTTAATATTTTGTGATGGGTTTTAATTATTTGTGGATCTTATGCAAATTCACAATACAACACAGATTTATGATTTTATGATATTGGTATGTTTTTTACGCGTTAAATAACTATAACAACTGACACTCGCGCACAATTTCACCGAGCTGAGCCACTTGTTCAACTCTTTTGCTTATAATATTTGAAATATTAATAAAGCAACTAATTTTTTTTTAAAATAATGATATACATACATATGTATGTAAATACCTTATACTGAATATCACCCGTGCACTGCTGTTCTACAAATGCCAATAACTTTTATTTTAACTCACAATTTATTCACAGTTTGCACTCATTTTTTATTCTTACATTTTCATATCGCACTTTTCCACTATTTAGGCTTAACTTTTACTAAAATACATTTAATTAATCAATTATTTACTTTATGCCTAAAATTTTCACAAAAATTCAACAGCAAAAATAATTCAATAACAAAATGAACAGCTGATCGCATGCAGCAAGTTGTTGGTATTTGAATTGACGTTGTCAGCTGTGCGCGACGCACTTTGTTGCTTAACAAAGCAGCAGAGAAAATATATGTACATAAGTTCTCTGTAAGCAGACACATGTTGCTAGAGCAAATGTTGCGCAAAATAGCAAAATGTTGTGCGTGAAATATCAAAATAAATAAGTACTGCATAGCTATACACAAATTTAAATAATTAAAGAAGGAAAGTATTAAAATAAATACATTTAAATTAATAATGAAAGTAAATAATAAAATAAATAACTTATATTATTACAAAAGTAAGAAGGTTTGTCTTAACTAATTGAATGTATGTTGAGTATACAGGAATATACACGATTAAGCATGAGTTTACATATGAATATATGTATAATATTCATAGTTAGAACGAAAAGCAACAAATGCTTGCAAATACAGGTGTTATTCAGACTTTTAAACAATTTAAACTTAGACATGTATTTAAAGAAAAATGCGCTGTTTTAAAATATCAAACGCTTAATTGTTAGCAAATAATGCTTCGTATAAAATATTAATTCAGTTTAGACAGCTGTTCTTAATGTTACTTATGTACAATATATATAATAATAAGCTAGTTTGTAGTGAATCTTTCACATAATATATTATATATACAGATATAAGATTAAGCTATTCTAAAGAAAGGTTGGACTTATTTATGTCAACTATTTTAGTTGAACTTTCGTCAGCGAAGACTTGTAATACGTACATACCATACATACAAGTATATAGTCTAAGAAATTTTAAAAGGCTTCAAAACTGCCATTTAGCACTTGCCTATAGCTGATTACATTACCTGAGGTGTAATTTGCCAAATATTTCAATTGTCATTTCCTTCAGTGTAGGATTGGTATACCCTGTTCTTAATTGTGAAATATTTTAAATAATTATGTGCTGTTCTACAACATTGAAAGAAAAAGTATTTGACTCAATAATGCAAATTATATTTATAGAAGTAATTATATATTATATTTGCATGTATAAGTATATATAAATAAACTTTTATATATATGTTTACGTTTAATTGTGATATTTAAATTTAATTCCGCACATATGGGGAAAATAACATAGTTTTTGTGGGTTTCACGTTCAAGGTGACTTGTAGATTCTTATTGCAGAAAATGAAGAAAATAAATACACGATAAAATTATTATCTTACTTTATGCGTATTAAAAAAAAATTGCAGCAAAAGATAAAAATAATAATAAATATTGCAATAAACAGGCTGATCAAATTTGAGATTTTTCCGTTAAAAAAACACACTTAGTGTATGCAGTCAGAAAAGTCTAATTCGGGAATTAAAAAAACCACTGTATCATTTTTTTTGAATATTTGAAGGTATACAGATTTTAAGAATACACAGTAAAATTTTCGATGAAAAAAATTAAATATTTGAAAAGAAGATTCTTCGCTCTTTTCTTATAGACTCACCTAGGGCCGAAAAATAAATCAAAAGTTGATGACATGGCAGCGTTTTTAAAAACTACGTTGAATTTTACCAACAATTTCGGTCGTTTTTGTCATGCCAAAATTCGATTTTTCATTAATTCGAACAGGTCGGTCATGGTATACAAAATATGCCCATATAAGTGACAATATTTGTATAATTTGTCTCCGATTAGATGTCAAGCCTGTCATTCAAGCAAATTTAAAAAATTTTGTTTTGAGAAAAACTCGTTTATAGATAAACTGATAATTGAACTGAGCGGTTACACTTTGAAAGGCTGTAACTCAAAAACTATCTCGAATATGAAAAAATAAAAATTAATTTTTTGTTTAATTTCATACGAGTTATGCCTCTTAACTTATTCGCTATATTTAATAATATATGGATTTTATCTGTTCCCAAAACTGAAAGATTAATGCGAGAATGCGCTTTAAGCTGGTAATGAGCATATTTAATATTATATGTAGAATAGTAAGTTCGCAGAAGAAACTAAGTAGTAAGACATAAATTAAATAAGTGTACGCTAAATTTAATAAATCGTTAAAATGATTACGAAAGCTCAAGAGGAGTACAAGAGAAGAAGGAAGGCAATAATAAAAATGTATAGTGAGATTTTTTTGTTTTTGCTACAGTGCGGGCTTAATATGATGGAAATAGATTTTCTTGTCAAATATTTTATATGTTTTAGTAATTATTTGTTTTTTCTTTTAAATCATTTTAGGAACGAGCTACCGAAAATATTAATTAGTTTTGCACACTTTCCATCAAAATAAAATATATTTAAAAATATTTACTACTTAATATATAAATTTGTACAAGTCAAAATTGTTTTTACTTCAAATATGTTTTTTCCTTTCTCTTTTGTTTTGAAAAGAAAAAGCGAAACAAGATAATTACATATTTTCACTCTTCTTAGTTATTATAATGAATCAGCATTCAGCATATTTTAATTGTGGTGGCTTTTGCTTTAAAAGCCCATATTTCAATATGTAAAAATATAAATATATGTATGTATGTAAATAAGTATAGAACTGCGAGTGTTCTGATATTGTTATACAAATATAAATATGTAAACTTACAATATAATACATGCATACATACATACATACATACATACCTACGTATGGGCGTAAGTTCAGCTAAAGTGCGGTTAAATGATTGGCCTTCCATTTACCTGTGATAAAATGACTTTACGGCAGCATGACTATTGATTCATGGCACGTTTTGTTGCCAACGCCTCATTGTTGCTATTTTAACTCGTCAACATTTAATTTATATACTTTGCTACTTAACAACACACAGTGTGGCTGTGAGTGAATTGATTACTTGCAGTTGTAAGGAAATTTATATACCCTTTTAGTATATATGTATGTATGTATATGCATAGGTAATTTTATATACTGTGTATATGACTGAAAATAAATATTTATTTACCTGTTTAAGCAGAAATTATTTTAATTAGTAAAAATATGAGTTTGCCAAAATTTTTCAGCGAGTTTAAAAACATAAAGAGGGTGCTTTTTTGAGGTAAAAAATCATAGTTTAAAAAATGTGTACATTTATTTCCTATATAATGGTATTGCAAGAAACTAACAATTTGAAATTTTGATCGTTAAATGATCTTTAACGATGAGCCAATTTTCTACTAAAGGGGAAAATAAGGATTAGACGCTTCAAACATTAAACTTTTTAATTCAAAAATTGTAGTAAAACTCTTGAAAAATATATATATTTGAAAATGCCGACTCGTTCTATTGTGCTACGTTTAATAAGATACAAGAAATGTGAAATTACAAAAAAAAATGTATTTTGTGCATATCTTAGAGTCTATGTCAATTCTATATTAAAATTACCTTACTAAATTTTAAAATGATTATCTCAAATATTTTTTGAGTTAGAGGCTTCTAATATGTACTCGCTCAATTGAATGAGTCTTGCCTTTAAACGGGTTTTCGAATTTGCTGCAGTGATAACTAGGCACATGATCCAATCACTATCAAATATTTTCTGCATGTTCTGTACATATGTATCTAGTTTTCCAATCTAACTCTGTATCTAATGTTCCCTGACTCTATTGTCTTCTCTCTGAATCAACCTGTGCTCCTGATGAAGTTCATCAGTATAAATAGTTGTATGTGAGCAACTTCCAATACGTCGTCTAGGAACCCTCGAGCGATTTTTTTATTTAATAAAAAACTCATCAAATTCATTGCTCAATTGATGTACCAACCAAGTTTCCTACCTTAACAACTACATCTTTATAATTTTCCTGCATTTTATTTCAAATAAATTTTCTACAGCTCTAAAAAAGCACCCCCATATGTGTCTACATAATTATATATTTAGCAACCAACAATTCTGCTATCTCTCAACAACGCCCGGTGTTAATCTGGTGTACTTATGATAAAGAAATCTTTTTGAAAACAAACCACTTAGTTATTTATGAGCATTTAAGAGCCTGACGACCTTTTTAGCATCTTTAATAGTCAATTTTAGCTTACGAAATTGACAATGAAAAACAATTGTCTGACTTATCTGCGGTGTTAGTAGACAGCGATTTGTTTAGCATAGCTGAATATTTCATGAGCAATAACGGAAATCAACTAAAAACCGCATATGAACATTTATATTTATGTGTATGTACATATATATATATCAATGTGTAAATATATACATATATATATCCATATGTATATATAAGTAAATATGCTCTGAAAATATTTTGTTACGTATACGCCAACGCCAACGCGATGCGGTTTTGCTATTTAGATTACCAGCACTTTGGCGTTATATAGCCAGTATATAATATTTATACACACATACTAATACGTATTTACACTTTAAACTGCACTTAATATACAAATATATGTCATATGTGCAGTAAATTATTTATTGACTGCATTCCCTAAGTTGCTATCATAATAATATATTGCAAGAAACTATCGACCGTTATGAATAACACGCTCGTGCACACGTTTCATTTGCGAAGTAAACACCTCACTTGTGATTACAAGTAACTCATTTCCATTACGCTGACTGATTACAAGCAACAAAAACAAAACAACACAACAACAACCACATACGAGTATGCAAAAGTATATATGAAAAACAAAACTAATAAAACCTACCAAGTTAAAGTCGATTGTAAAGTGTCGTTGCAAATGTTTATTGCAAAAATCCATGCAAAATATTTGTACGTATATAGTATTTTTGGAATATTAATTTTTAATGCGCAAAAATGGGAAAATATTCGACGTAGTTGTCACAGACATAAATTACAACAATGTTGCAATGAAATTGAGACACCCTACAACAATTATTAGCAGTATGCTAGCTAAGCAGTTAATTTCAGAAAATAGATAAAGTTAAAGTGTTTAAACTGATATGCGAAGGCGATGTCAGACTTGGTCAAATGCCAAAACATTCATTAGGACAGATTAAAATCTAAGGCGATTTGTTTATCACATAATTTCCGCGGGACACCCAGGGTCTACAATTTAAACTAGTAAAAGCGCGTAAGTCGAGAGGAAAGTGTATCAGTGATACTAATTCGTAATTACTAGGCTAACTCGAGAGGTTAAGTTAGGTTCGATGGCTGCTCCTCAAGATGGAGCTGGCACTTTGACTACTAAATGTATCCCTTTGTGAAGCCAAAAAATTAGAATTCCTGTATCCGATCTTATAAGTCGTCAAAGCGCCATGAGACGAATACAAATCTGCTTAGGCGTTTAATTTCTATTTCCACTAGCTCAGTGGGGTATCTGAAAGTGTAAGCAACAAAGAATTTAAGACTTGATCTCAAAGGTGGGACAATCAAAAAGGAAGTGCTGAGATGTTTCTAACCTTCTTCTATACAGCTTCTACAGCTCGCATCCGGTTAGATTTTTAACCTCACAACGTTGATGCGGATAGCACAAGGACTTGTTAGTCTTTAAAATTCTGCGACAGTGCAAGAACTGATGGTCGCCCAACGTTGGCAAAGCTCCCACGAAACCCAGCTTTACCGTAGTAAAATGCGAGAAGAAAGCGAAGCACCAACCCAAGAAATTTACTGATAGCATGGCTAAGCTGCCTTTCCATATCAGCTCGTCAGCTTTGCAGTTACCTGCGATTCCGCTGAGGACTGGCACCCATACTAGTCTCATCAAAAAGTACGTTCATAGTCAGTTCTTTAAAAAAGGCTGCACTCTGGAGCAGTAAATCTACCGCTACCTTAATGGTAACAACCTCGGTTTGAAAAAAGTTGTAGTAATCAGGAAGCCTGAAACTGAAGTTGATAGAGAGCTCCTGAAAATATACTCCTCCATCAACCTTCACTACCACTCTCCTCTCTCAGATATTTGGGCAGAGATTATACCGCCAGAGTTTGGTTTGACGACTCCATGATCCAAAAGATCCGGTATAAAATCAAAGCGTGCGAAGATTTCCGAATGTTCAGACACATGTTCATTTCGAAACCCAGGTTCTCTGAGTTTAATAGCAACTTTAAAATAAACAGGACATTAAAGGTTTACGTTCGTTTCTATAGTCAATTTTTTAGGGGCGTCTCTACAGATTCTTATGTCTCCAAAAACTTCCTCTAGTCTCTAATAGTTTTATACTTATAAGGCTGAGCTAAATCTGAGCCAGCTACCGAACTCTTTGTCGAGAAAGAAGGGATTATTAAAATACATAACGGAGTTTCAACCATTAATTTAGAAAATACTAGTTTATATCATTTATCAAATTTAACTAACTTAACATTCCGCATCTTTACTTACAGGTCAGCTGATGCTATTCTACATTATTTTCTACATCGTACTCGCCGGTTTATTTGCGATCTGCATGCAGGGTCTATTCGCCTCTCTGAGCGACAAAGAACCGACTTGGAAATTGGAAAGATCATTGATTGGCACAAATCCCGGTTTGGGCTTTCGTCCACTGAGCAACGAGACGGAACGCGGCTCGGTTATACAATTCGATACAAAGAAGCCAGTCGAGGGCGCCTATTGGACGGGTTTGGTTGATCAATTTCTCGTTGGTGAGTTTCATATACAAAAAAACAACCTCAAATTTTCTAACCAACATTTGTTTTTGTTGACTTGACAGAATACCGCAGCTCTGGCGAGAAGAAATTCTGTAATTTCAATCAAACAGTTGGCGCCAATAAGGTCTGCGTTGTCAATGTGGATAACTTTGGACCATGCTCCAAAGAAACTGGTTACGGTTATCAAAATGGACGTCCTTGCATTTTCTTGAAATTGAATAAAATTTTCAACTGGGTGCCGGATTTCTATGAAAATTTAAAGACACTGCCCACAGAAATGCCTTCTGATCTCAAAGAACACATTGGCAATTTAACTGAAATTGAGGTGAGTTATGGTTACATTATATGATTAAAGTTTAGAGGAGGGTTTAAAAAATAGAATGCAAACAAATATAATATATCTTGAGGTTACCGAACCCCCACGAACCTAGCAGAGTTTTCGTTGCTGGTGCTGGCCGCCTCGCACCTTATCACTTCCTACATTTACAATCGGCTGATTTATGCGACTCCCACTATTGTTTGCACTACCTTTGGTGGGGGACCTATATTCCAGAAGGTATGGTCCTAAGGTTATCTCTGTACAAAGGCCAAGGTGAGGGTTGACACATGCCCTTATAGAGCAATGCGTTCAGAACCCACCAGCACAAAAAGAGAGTCTTCTCAACCTACACTTATCACATCAACTTAATGGTGATGGGAATGAAACGTACTCTGAGGCCTGCCAGGGTTTTAATGGGACGAAAGGAGTCTCGGCGTTAACACATAAACAAATTCTGCAGTTCAATGTTCAACCAATCCTAAAACCTAGTTTGTGTCAGATCCGAGGTCAGATGTCCGTTAGGAATTTTATCGAGGCCGTATTTAGCGTTACCCAGGAACCACCGCACGGAGGCGAGCCACTCTACATTCCAAGAGACATAGAGTCCGTTTTATGTGTAATTTCTATAAATCACAGTTATGTGAACTCTGAGATGGCAATTTGCTATATTAATGTTTTCGTTATGACATGGATTGGTCTATACCGATATTTGGGTTTGCTTTACTACTACATAAGTTTTTTAATCAAAAAATATATATCATACAAAATTCTAAACTAGCATTTTCTTTTTTTACTCTACTCAGCGCAAACAAATCTGGGTGTCATGCAAAGGTCTGCATCCCATCGATGAGGAAAGCATTGGTGACATGAAGTACTATCCCGGCCGTGGCTTCCCCACCTTCTACTATCCATACCTCAACCAACCTGGCTACCTTAGTCCACTGATTGCTGTACAATTTGAAAAACTGAAACAAAATCAACTCGTGGACATCGAATGTCGCGCGTGGGCCAGGAACATCATCTATAGCGGTAGTTTAAACGCACGAACCGGTTCGGTTACTTTCCAGCTGTTCGTCGATTAAATGTTGCGAAGCATATTTGCGATAGCAACAGCAACAATAAGAAGCTACAAAAAATATACTTGTAAAAAAACAACAGCGACTTGAAAAATAAATAAAAACTCGGAGAGAGGCGAGGAGAGAGGTGCAAATTCGAAGGAAGAGATTAAAGAGTTGAAAACAGTTTGAAATGCATTAAAACGCTTACTTGCTTATCTTTTTATCTAATCCAACAAATGTTTCTTAGAAATGCAGAGCAAGCCAAGAAAATATTTTTATAGAGTCGCCAGAGAGTTGTTGCAGCGAGCATAAAGTAATTAATGGAGCGTTCAAAACCGTTAAATAGCAAATATATTTGTAAACGAAAAATGTTGGGTAGAAAAAGAAATGTGGTAAACAAATGTTATGTATTTTTTTTATTTTAAGTTATTCAAGTGAGTTAAAAATAAAATGTGTATATCTAAGCAAAATTAGAAATATCAGAAAAATGCAAAATTCAAGAATTAGTAAAAAAATTTTAAATCAAAAAGCAAAAAAAATTGTGTGAACGCAAAAAATAAAGCAAAGCGACACTAAAAAATATTTTCAGCTCAAAAATAAAATGAAAAGAAATGTCACATGAGCGCTCACACCTACACCAACACACACATACAGCATTGTATTGTGCAATTCGCGGATACATATTTATATTATTTGTTTTATGAATTTTACAAGCAACAAAAATTGTATTAAAACTCGCATACGTCAATATGAAGAAAAAGCAAAACCAGTTCTTAAAATCCTTAGAGTTGCTTAAAAATTAGTAATAATTATCTGTAGATAATTTTAGTGAACTTTACACGCAGTTGCATGCTTTGTATATGCACATTTGCGAATTCCGTACCACACGCATACACACAAACGTAAAACACATACACACAAATACGAAACTCATACACATATACAAAGGCAAACACCAACAGCAGTGAGAGGCTGCTGAGGAATAAATTAAATTTTTAACTCTTAATTTTGATTTAGTCAAAAATAATTATGTACTTTCTAGGCTGAATTTATGAGTATTTATGTATGTATGTAAAAAGTTGTAAATTAATAATAATAAAATAAATAAAAATTATTACAAAAAAATAAAATAAATAAAATATTATTTTGTTTACGACATTGTGATGTTAAGATACCAAAATTTTCCGGGTTTAGATTCAAATGAAAATTACAAAATCTAATTTTTTTTGATAATAGTTGTTAAAGTTTTTGTTAATAATATTATTATTATTTCGATGAAAATTTTACTTCAATTTTAAAACTAGATTTCGCAACTAAATCTAAAAAAAAATTTCTATTTTTTTGCAAATTAACCTTTCTGAAATTAATTTTTTTCTAACCAAATTTACTTAAATGAAATTAAAATAAAATTAATATTTTTCCAATTAAATTCTCTTAAATTAAATTAAAGACATATATAACTTTTTTGATTAAATTTGTTCCTTAAAAAATATTACTAATTGAAATTCAAAAAAAATTACAAAATACCAATTTTCTTTTATAATAATTTATAAATTTTTTTTATAATTATAAATAATTGTTTCTAACTAAATTTTCTTAAATCAAATTTTTTTCTTATTGTAATTAATTTCAATAAATTAAAGTTTTTCCATAATAATTTATTTTTCCCTAATTAAATATTTATACCCTGAACAGTAACACCCAGGCGGAAACAGAGAAAATATATACATAAATGATCAGCATGATGAGCTGAGTTGATTTAGCCATGTCCGTCTGTCCGTCCGTCTGTCTTTATCTACGCGAACTAGTCCCTCAGTGTTTGAGATATCGATCTGAAATTTTACACCCATCCTTCTCTCACCAAGAAGATGCTCATTTGTCGGAATGGCCGATATCGAAACACTATAGCATATAGCTGCCATATAAATTGAACGATCGGAGTAAAGTGCTTGCATGGAAAACTCTTTCATTTCATTTGACACAAAATCATCACGAAATTTGGCATGGATAATTGTCTAAGGCAACAATGTATAATACTTTTCGCAAAAATTGTATAGATCGGATAATTGATGATGATGAACGATCGGAATAAAGTGTTTATTTGACGAGGTATATTTACGAAATTATATCGAAATCAAGTTCTTGTAAGGAACCTTTGTATTTTTGAAGGGTATTATAGCTTCGGTGCAACCGAAGTTAACGCGTTTCCTTGTTTAGAATTAGTGTACAAAGTAAAGAATTTTTCGCATTAAATTTTTCCTTTTTGAAAATTATTAGCAGTTTACATATTTTAAAAAGAAAATTATAAAAATCTAAATTTTTTAATGATAATTAAAAATTTTTTCGTTAATATTATTTTTTTCGTTTCAAAACTTTTTCGAAATTTAATTAAAAATAATAAAAATTTTTTTCTACTTAAATTTTCTTAAATTAGTTTTTTAATTTATTAAATTTTTTAATTAACATTTTTTTACTTAAATTAAAGTATCAATTAAATTTTAAATTTTCTATAATTTTAAAATAAATAAAAACAAATAAATATTTTTCCAACTAAATTTTGGTAATGTAAATTTGAATAAAATAAAAAAAAATGTCTAATTAAATTATCGTAAATTAATTTTATTCCTAATTAAGTTTTATTGAATTAAATTTTTACCAATAAAATTTTCTTAAATAAAATTAAAGTAATAGTACTTTCTAAATAATTTTTTTCTTTAAAGAGTTTCAAAAGTTTACTTAAACTATCGTCAGTATTTTTTCCGAGATTTTTCACAATTTTTTTTTGTACTTTTGATCCAAATTCAATTTTCACTTTTCCATTTTATTTTGAATTTTCTTTGCAACACTGCATAATTTGATTTAAGTTTTAATATAAGTAAGCTTTAAAACTTAATTAATATTACGCCCTGAATTGCTTGACATCTGGCAACACCAATAACATAAAATAAATTGAATAACCGTGTGCAGCACCGGTGAATTATACTTATACACACTAGATGCAGTTAGCGCATTATATAATAATATTGCGAAACAATTTTAAATAAAATGACATAACACCATATTAATCAATTTTCAAACATGCATAGAAATAAAGTTAAATAATGTTAAATAAGTATACAATAGTTATTTGAATTAATTAAGTAAAATATTTATTTGGTTATTTCAAAAATTTGAAAAATTACAATTCATGTTATTTGTATAATATCGTAAAAATAAAATTTTTAAACCTGAAAACCTACAGGATGTTTATTTGTATGATATTTGGTTTTTTATGGTCTAAAGTTAATCGTATTGGTTTTTTTACAATATCATTTGTGGCATTAATTACATACAGATGTTCACACTGAAGTAAACTGTAACTTTTTTTCAAAATTTTTTAAATTAAATTTTAACAAATTATTTCCTTTTTTTCAAATTCCTGTTATTAATTTTTAGATAAAAAATATTAAATTAAAGAAAATATTAATTTTAAGAATAACAAACGAAATTGTTAACTTCGGCTGCAACGAATATACCTATAATACCCTCACAGGGCATGAAAGTTCGGAGCTTGGAGCGATGCCTTATTTAATAACCTGTGCCAAATTTCGTGAAGATAACTGTTGTTGTTGTTGTAGCGGTAGAATTTTGCCGAGTTGACAGTCCTTGGCCGGAAAAAATCCGGGTCCGTTCCGGTTACGTAGACCCGACTGTTATGGTAGTGGTCCCATATATAAACATGTAACGAATGAGCAGTTTTTTGAGAGAAAATGACGTGTGCAAAATTTCAGTTCGATATCTCAAAATCTGATGGACTTATTCACATATATACAGACCGACAAATCGACTCCGTTTCCTTCTGGGAGAATACTTAAAAAAGATCAAGTCACAACGGGATTAGCTCAGTCTGTACCGAGCGAAAAATATTGTATATAGCGATAGTATCAGAATGATTTCTTAGATCTCCCATTTGATCAGATACCAAATCATTAGTCAAAAATATCTGGAATATTTTCCAAAGTGCCTTAAGTCGACATAAGTTAATGGGGAGCAATTTAGTGATACCGACCAAATTAGTGGAGACTCAATGTTAACTTTTATTTTAAATAAGACCTTTGGATAGTTACGATTTAAATTACGATTACTTACTTTTTATAAAAGTCAAAATGGTCTCTCCAACTTAAGTCGTCTAAAAGTGTTTTGACGTAATGCCACAGATATAGTCGGTTATGGAGGCTAGCGAAATTATGGGCTGATTATAAAAACTCCTCTTTAAACCCAGCCTAACATGTTGGTCCCATTTCAATGTATATTCTTCTTAATGTCGGCTATATTCATGGTAAGATTAATCAGGTGGACTGAAGCCTGTACGAGTACCTTAGTTAAATTCCGGCAGGGGATGCCATTTATCGATGCTATTCATTTCAAGTATTAACCATTATTCTTTGAGGGATCTTTCTTTCTTAACTCATTTAATTAAAAAATTTTAATTACTCGTCCAAATTAGCTCTATATGCTAGTTATATATAGAACTAGGGTTAATTTTAAACGGATTTCGACCGCTTCTAGAATTGATTTGATGCACATAAATCAGCAAATCAATTAATATGACACTTGTCTTGTCGATTTTGAAGTAGGCTTAAGAGCTCAACATGTTGTCAGAATCTAAAAAAATTTAGAAAATATTATAATTGAAAAAATAACTCTCGCATTTCTCCCACTCTGTACATTCACTTCAGCATGAATATCTGTAACTTTATATCAAGTAAAACTAAGACTACCACTTGAACTCCACTAAGGCATACAAGTGCCTCACACAAGTTGTTTACTTTTTTTTTTTTTGGTTATTTTGGAATAATTACAATAATTAAACGTTACTTTTTATAATTACTTAAAGCCTTTAAATTAGAACATGATTTTCACAGTTTTTCTTATAATATTTCACCATTACGATCAACATTTGTTAACTCATTTCGAAAAGTACAATAATTTCATCTACGTTTAAAATACGCCTTACCGTCTCTTAGGAATTCAGTAGTGTGATTGTTAATATAAAATATCTATCATCATACAAGTAGGAATATATTATATTATATTTGCTTTTTAAAGTACTGATTTCAAATTTATTTGCTGCGAGATACAATTTTTTTTTCCAAAAAATAGTTTCATCGTACAAACCAACAGGTACGAGGTTGGGGTCTTACATAGGTGCTGTTTGTATAGATAGTAAAACAGTGATTCTGTGAGTTAAATACATGCTTTTATACGAGTGTTTTTTTAATTATTTCCGAAATTCGAATTATCTTAAGGCATAATTAATTTTTCAAAAACATAATCTAACCGATTTTAAAACACATTACCTAACTTTTAATGTGTTTTAATAGATGGAATTATAATTTCACCTAAATAATGATTTATGTACTGAAATATATTAATGTTTGAATTATTTTGTTGAATTATGTAGAATATATATATTTAAAAGTCATTATCACTTCTTGGAAAGCAATATAATACGATTTTGAAACCACTAAAGACATTTTTTTTAAGTATCTACTATCACACTTTGTGGCCTGGAATCCAGTGACCGAGAAATTCTGGGAAACGAAATAGCTGTCAGTCACAAAAAACGATATAGGTATTGTGCAATAATATTTCTGAAAGCGTTGGTAGACGAATCACATGCGAGCCGGATGGGCATAAGTAAAGACGATACATGCAGAAAGTGCAGAGAAATAGGCATGGAAGATGTCACCTGGTATGCTTCTGTCTAGCATTATTTAGTACTTGGCTTAGATATCTAGAAGCTTCGCAGTTTAAGAGACTTGTAGATAATGTTTCAAAATTAGATATTAAATCACTCTTAAGGCTCGCAAAATGTGTTGATGAATACTTCAGCTCAAATTAAACTGTACCTCTATCGGGCATTACGAACGACCAGTAGGTCTATGTATAGCGTGACAGTCGGCTAGTATAACCTAACCTAACCTACTATTATACTTATACTTACAGTATTTCTATAAATTATTTTTTGCCCATGCAAAAAATCGATTTTAAGAGGCACACCTAGTAAACATTTTTTTAAAAATCGTTTTTATTTTTTTTAAAAATCGTTTTTATTTTCAATATCTCAAATAGTGTTTGAGTTACAGCCTTCTAAAGTGTATCTGTTCAGTTTAATCATATTCCAACAGTTTTTAAACGCTTTTTACTCGATACGCTAAATGTGCACCTTCGCAAAGAGTATCATCGGATTTGGTAAATTTTGGGCACATGGAATTTCAAAAAAGCTTATGATGACATTGTAGAATCTCAAAATAAAGATATTAAAGTCTACAAAGGAAGATGAGAGCAACCATATTTTTACATGAACTTGTCTCTTTTTATCTACAAGTAACGGCGCCAGTTGGGCTGTTTAGAAAACGACAACATTATAACGAAACTGACACTCTATAAGCATGATATTACTTTGCAAAATTTTGTAATAACAGCTGTTTTTGGACAGTTCATTCTTCGATCGCTTTGAGAGCAGCATAGATTTAACAATTTCCAAGAAAAAATTATCTCTTACTGAATATTAAATAAAATTATATAGCAAGGTTCCAATGACATCAAGAATCAAAATAATATGCTCCGATTTGTTACAAACATATTTGTATAGCTATTACAGATAATCATCTTGAGGACCAATTTTTATGTAAACCCTTTCTTTGTAAAAATGTTTAACACTCCATATCACAATTTCTTTTGATATTGCAAATTGTTTATAATATTATATGCTTTGATATTCATCCTCTTTATAATCGTAATCTTTTATATGTAAATGTGTGTATATGTGCATTAGGGTAGCAAGTTTTTTAGGTTATGAGCTTGCTTTTCTCTTTTAAATATTACTAGTCATCCTCATTAGTAAAATAATTTTTTTTAACATTTCTTCCGAAAATACCACGCCCTAATGCATACCTTACAAAAAAATTACAGTTTTATCAACCACATTCCTTGCTTACTTGAACTTTACTTACACGAATTATTAAAAAGATCTATAATATATAAATATTATTCCATATTTATATACATACATATATATGCGCATTAGGACTATCCTCATTTGTACAAAAATTGTATGGAGCTTAATTAAAAACGAAACCAGTAATTATTTGAAACACCCTGTATACACATAAATGTTTGAAAACTAATTTCCATTCGTTAAACAGTTATTTTCAAACTTTTCCTTAGAGCATTTAAGAGCAGAATTTCGAAAATGCAATTTTTATGCTCAAATATAAATTATATACAAATAAGGGCATCCCTAATGCATCTATATAATTATATATTTATATTAACAGTATAAGTATATATTAATATTAACGTTTTCTATTAATAATATTTCCGTTATAAATGTAATTAATATTAATTTTAATAGAATTTAACTAACTACTGGAAAGATGGAATTAATATATTTTGGTTAGCGGTAAAAACAACTCAGGACACTTTCGCGCCCCACGAATCGGTTTCATGGTACATACGCAATATGTTATCCTTAATGAGTTTGGTTTTCTCTGCAAAGATTGGTTAGTGTAGAGTTGTATTTTTTATTCTTCAAAACAAATTTTAAGTACTCACCCTTTGATAAAGTATGGCTTGCCGTTGCCGATTGTTTCTTCAAAAAGTCTAGGCACATATCTTGAGGTAGGCCCAATGAGTGCATATTACATGTGAATTCCCTGGAAGTAAATATGATTATGTTATTAATATGAACCTCCTTTTTAGACACTTGATCACTTCGACTCACCCCAGTTGTCGAAACACAATATTCTCAATGGAATGCGGATCGAGATGTGCGTGCTGCTTATCAGCGGCTGCTGCAGTGTTCGACGCATCCACCAAAGCTGTCGACTCGGCCGAAGCACCAGCGCCACCAATTGCGGACGTGTCTTCGGCACTGGTCTGTGAAGCAGATTTCTTCGTCGACTGCACCTTTAAGGCCACAATATTACCATGATGTGAGGAACTGGACGTGGAAGCGATTTCCCCATCAACCGGTGCATCCGTTAACGTCGCCATCTCATTGGCTGCCTCAACTGGCGCATTCTCATGCAAATTCGACTCAACCGCTATCTTTGTTGTGAATTGTGCTTTATTGCGCTGTTTTCTTTCAGCGCGTCGCTTTCGCATTGCCAAACGATGGTCACGTTCACTATGCACAGCTTCGAAGAATGCGGCGCCCCAAAATCGTTGACTGTACCATATCGGTTGCTGGCGCATGAAAATGTAGAGATACTGGCGATACGGTTCACAGCCAGGAACATCAACTGTAGCGACGAAAGTAAAATAAGTAAGTTGTCTACAATCACATTACAAAAGAACAAACGTATACTTACTTTCATGGTAGAATATAAAGCATGTATTCATAATTAACGCCGCCGGCGCGTAGTCTTCACTCTCGCCGCACTCAAATAAGACGATGGCGAAATATTGTACCAGCGAATGGAAAGTCACCTCGTCCACACGCTTCGATTTGACTTTCTGCTCGAGCAAGAAACGTGTAAACCATTGACGTCCCGCATCGATACGCGCCAATGCGCCAAACTCCGCCTTCAACTCCAGTCCGATTGCCGAGGCGTTCAAGAAGAGCACTTCTATGAAACGTTTCATAAACTCTTTGACTGGTTCCTCGCCAACGCGGCAGTCCAAACTGATGGACGAAGCCCATGATGGCACTGAGTTTTGTGACTCCGAACGTATAAAATTACGCCAATCGGTCGATTCAATGCTGGGACTCGCTTGTACATCGGGTTCGTCGCGCAAGCTGGTCACAGTGCTGCTATTCGAATTGCGACTGCGAGGCGGCACCACCATACTGGTGCCCGATTGTGTCATAGCTGGTATATCCATGTGCAGATGGGTGGAATGGTTGCGTTGTTCCGTGGAATTGGCGCATTCACGATCCGAAGGCGGTTGCACATCAATGTGCGGTGCGCTGGCATTTACGCTCAATAAATCGGTAATGCGTGATAAATCTCTTTGTATGTCGAGTTCACTACGTCGTGCACCGGGTATGGCGCGTCCGGGTCGTCCATATCCACCTGAGTGACGTGACTCGATGGAATTAGAGCGTGTAGTACTACTAATATGCGAACGATTGACAGGCGGTGAGTATGAAGACGATGTAGAGCTGGAAGTTGAGGAACTCGAATCGGAACGCTTGTTTTTATTACGTGACCTGGAGCGGGAAGCCTCCAAGCGAGGTCCTATCAATGTTCAATAGTATATTATTTCAAATACAATGAATATAAGAATAATACTCACTAGGTGCCAAGTTAGGATATCGAAATCGTCCTGATATGATCTCTTCATGTGCGCGTCGTGCCTTAATGCGTCGAAACTCATAATCTATTTTCGTGTAGTCAATGGTCTCGTCAACTGTGAAAAAACGAAACACAATTTACTGTTAAAAAGCAAAGAAATATTAAAGCTCTCAGACTTACATATAGGAACCTCCTCGTCATCATCGCAATACTCCGATTCGCTGGAGCTAATGCTAAGTGTAAGCTGAAAAGAGCATTCAGACAGTTTTGAGTATAGGCAGAGTATTCATACGTGAGTAAGAGTGTATAAAAATTGGGATTAAAAGCTCTGTAATCTTAATTTTTTAGAATTCCATCTAGTTGAAAGACTTTGACCATTTAAAAAATACACGTTATGGTTATGTACAAGTATAACCGACTCTCGTGAGAATGGAAGAAACTCACAACAAGGCTTTACTATGATAGTGTGATGAATCCAACAAGTGTCCGAGGGCTAATTTCTAGAGAACCATTTCCAGCTTGTCTTGGAATTAGCAACATTTTTGCTGCATAAAGTCCTCATCACTGCGAGACATTTTCTTTGAGACTGAAAGACTTACACCATAAGCAGAGCGGTTGTACTTGAAGTAGAATAAGAAAAAACGTTAATTTCGGTTGCACCGAAGCTTTAATACCCTTCACAAATCCTTTGTATTTCCTTATAAGAACTTGATTCCGATTGTTCAATTTGTATGGCAGCTATATGCTATAGTGGTCGGATATCGGACCGTTTCGACAAATAAGCAGCTACTTAGTGAGGGAAGGACAGGTGCAAAATTTCAGATCGATAGCTTAAAAACTGAGGGACTAGTTTGCATATACTTGTATACAGACGAACGGACGGATGACGGACATAGCTAAATCAACTCAGCTCATCATGCTGTTCATTTATGTCTGTATTTTATAGGGTCTTCGCATGTAGGGTCAATCTGTGTCAGAATTGCAAAACTATTTCACATTTTTGAAAAAGAGGAGACTATGAATTTTATGAAGCCGGCAGAGCGTAATATTATTTCAACCAAAATTTTGGTAGAAGTAGGCAAAAGAGTCTCACTAACAAAGTCATTATAGAGGTTGAGCGTAGGTTAGAAAAGAGTGACGTTAGTTCATATGTATTTCGATAATATGTAGGGACAGTTAAGCAGCACTGATAGCAATATCATTATGCACAATAAAAACGCACATGGTATGGGAATGTGTCAGGAAACGAAATGCAGTAGATGAACGGAATAAAGATCGGCTACTTTGGGTTCCGAGACATACAGGTATTGAAGTAAAGGAAAACTGACCAATCAAAAAAAAATTCTTGTATGGACAGCTTTTCTATCTGGCTTCTATCTTCATGATAAAATATCATCATCAATACCATAAGATGGAACTTAAAATATATCATGATTATATATGTATCATTATTTCCATGCAAATTTAAGCTCCAAATTATGGACTTAGTTTAATCACAGTTTGCACACAATTTGTTTACTAACTTTCACTAATTTTAAATTTTTGACGCAATTTCTAAAGAATTAAATATCAAAGTCTTTCATCATAGTACTTGAAATTTCGAAGATTATCAGACAAGTTAAGATGACGTCTTCATACGCACTAGAAAAAGGAGATTGCATTATATTACACCGCATCCTTTCCAACACGATATTAATAACACACTCATAAAATAGTGAATCAATAACCATTACCTTATTTGCTTCCTTTGACTAAATATTTAAGTAATCGCTTACAAACATAACCTCACAACTACAAGCACATGGCTCTGGGCAACCCGTTTCAATGCACACCCACTTTCTGCCTTCTTCCTCGCCTACTCTGTGCAAATAGCGAAATACATACATAATGCTTTAACATGAACTTAACCCAGATGTGCCAATGCACAATGGCCTCGACAATGGCACAATCGAATTGTGTGGCAACAGCAAATGCCAACAAACATAGCTGAATGTCCTAAAAAAAGCATAAAAACAACAAAAATCAAAGAGCGACAGAACATATTTAAAAAAAAAACAACAAGCAAAAGTAATATTCTACATTTCGGTCTGTCGGTTGGACCTGTTTGGCGCCCCTGAACTTAACCATGGCGCAGTCCACAGACAAACAAACATACACACCGATAATAGTGATACTGACGCTGGTGAGCTTTGATGGTGGCTGCAGTTGTGGGTAGGCTGCTTGAATTGCGGCAATCGGTCGATGTCACAGCGGGTGACAGTCGAGGTAAATGTTAAGCGTTATTGAATGATGTCAAGCATATTTTTTGCAACTGTGTGGGTGTATTGGTCACACCACCGCAAGTTTTTAAAGAGAAAATAGTATCAAACGAGACTAAAATAATCCATAAAGTCAGTGGTTTACGCAAACATATTAAGCGATTCAAGTACAGTAGTGTGTAAAAAAATGCAGTTGGCAATAAATTTTTCTTGTAAGTTCGAAAAAATTTTAAAATTAATCTATCCCAAAATTTTTAAAACGAATAATTGACCAAACATAACCAAAAACAAAACTATTATACTCTGTAGCAATATGTTGCGAGAGTATAAAAATATGGAAAGATGAAGTTAAGCTAGAAATTAGGCTAAATATTAATAATACCTGTAGAAAACAGAGACTATAGGCAAAAGTTTGTACAAATGAAAACAAATACGTGTACATTTTTTTTAGATAGAGATATAGTAATATTATCGTTTGCTCCAAATGGCTTCGAAGAAGACACTTCCAAGAGTTGACCGCAGAAAACTAAATTAATTTAGCATAACAAACATTTCTGCATAATAGACATTTAGAAACTATCAGCAATGTCTAAACTTCATTCACGCCGGAAGTACGAATCTCTATTACTCAACGGGGCTATAAAAACAGTTGTACTTACAAAGTTCTCTATGGTAGAGACTTAATCGACCTTTTGATTTATAGGCAATACTCCAAACCTATAAGTTTCTTAGCCTCCGACAACGCTCGGCTTCAAATTGTAAGACCAGTTAAAAACGATTTAAAGAGCAGCGCCTTATAGCTCAAACCTCCCCCCTTCTGACTACCATTTATTCCAGCCGGCGCATCAGTAGTACGGCCCACATCAGAGCAGTTTATCAAAAATTGGCTTGATTCATTCTTGGCCACCAAGCTGAGGTACGAGTATGCTTGCCTGCCTTCACCTCTAATATGAAGCTCCCTAACAGTCCTGACACCAACTCAACTCATCTCAAGAAAGCGGTTTCAATCAATTGGAAACGAGTAGTATTGAAAACCTGCACTGATTGTTTGAAAGAAATTGAGGTTGGGTAAAAACTAATGTGTATAACCTAGGCCTTTCTAGGGGTCATTTCTGGAAACTTCTGGGGCACCTTCCAAAGTTATCATAGGCAACCAATTTGCCTATTAGTTCAATGCGAGGACGGTATTAATTATTAGATGACGACGCTATGTAATCATTTTACTGCCGTCTATAATGCTCTCATAGAGTTCCTTGTAGTATCGAACCCACTATTTATGTAAAAACAAAGCTTGAATATTGTTAACAAGGAGATTCGATGAAATATTCGGGCTAGGACCTATTTAACCTGGCAAGAACTGGTCAACAATTAGCTCCTGTTGTAAAAATTGAATGGAACAGGTGAGGTGGAAACATTCAAGCCCTTTCTCCGCCAATGTCCAGCTTTTGATATACGGAGGTTGAAAAATCGCATATTTTCGGCGAATCGAACGAACCACCTTAACAAATTTGTGGCAGGCTCAAACGCTTTGTCGATCTTTGTGAGGCTTTACGATAAATACTTGGTCGTATTTAGGTATCACAATGAGCCGGCGTCCTCAGCTGTTTCAGTGGAATCCGATTTTGGAGCGACCTTTTGACAAAAGCCAACCAACTAAATAACCAAAAAATCAACATTGGCTTAAGATGCATAAATTTGATGAGAATGATGAAGGTAAATCAAAATAAGACGAATACCTCAAAACTCCTTAAACGTCGGAAGAAGCACTAGTTCTTTAAGTAACATATCTCTCACTCACCTTATTCGAAATACCGTTAAGCAGCTCATTACTATTCCCAAGCACCGTTAGAAATTTCGACTTGAGTATACCAATGCCGGGAGTACGACCCATAAAGCTTTTGATTTTCGAGCGCTCACCACCCGGTGGCGTAGGCGGACACGTATTTAAGTCCACCATCTTCTTGCCGTTGCATTTGTTGTTGTTGTTATGCTTGTGGTTCAACATTCACTCCAGGCGCTGCACTTAATTAATTACTCATACGCCGTGTAGGTGCGCGGGCGTGTGGCTGTGTGTGACCTTGTGCTGCATAAATGCAAACGGTTTTTGTTGTTTTCTTTGTTATTATTATTTTTTTTCTAAAATTAAAATTATCCGTTGAGCGGATAAAATGGACAATTTTTTCTATATATAATGTTTTTTACTATCTTTGTAAATTCGCGCACGCGATTATATATCTTTAATTTGAATTAATTAATTACTTAGTAATTTTAATTAAATAGTTTAAACGTCAGCACAATTGCACAACATGTTTGTTCAGCTGCACATGTCCATATGGTAAACGCTCGCCCAACTGCTGTGAGTGTCGTATGTATTACGTTATCGGTATAAAATTGTGGCGTCTAACTGGCGTGGCAAGAGTTGGTGGAAGAAAGCGATAGCAAACGCGTACATGCAAATATGCTACTGCAGAGGCATGCTACACAGCGCACACTAACGCACAATTGTTTAGCGCACACGTGTAAGTGTGTGTGTGCGTATGCCTTTGTGCTGCTTAGGTATGTTTATGGGGCAGCAGCAGCATTACCGTTGTTTATTGTTGATGTTATATCGATTTTTTCCGCTGCAGCTACGGACACACTTGCATATATGTGCGCTTAGACTTCATATGCTGTCTTTACCGTTATGACTGTCTACTCGTGTATGTGCGGCCTCCACCGCGGTACATGGCCAGATATTTCGTCAAAAGTGCTGCTGAATTGAAAATATTTAATTTTTTTTTTGCTTATTTGGACGCTTCTTTGAAGGTTATAATTTGGCAAGCAACGGACACGCCTACCAAGGTTGTACGACTGCTGCGTTGGCTGCAATAAAAAAGTTGCTGGAAATATAACGGTTAACGGGGTGAAGTGTCAGCAGCTTAATTAACACATGACACAGCGGGGCGTTTTACCGCAATGGTTGTTGGAAAAATATTTTTTTCTTTTGCTGGAAACTCAACCAAAGCAATGGCAAGTTGTTGGTGTTTGCTTGTGCGCGTAAATTTTTTTTTTAAATATTGGTGTTTGCAATGCTTTTCTTTACATCTTGTTGTTATTGCTTTCAAATGTTTTTGAGACTAATATATTTCTTCAAACTTTTACTTGATTTATTTTTTTTTATTATTTATTTAATATATATTTTTTTAAATTTATTTGATATACATTTTTTTTTTAAATTTATTTAATATAAATTTTTTTTAATTTATTTAATGTACATTTTTTTTAAATTTATTTATTTTTATTTTGTTTTTTAATTAATTTGTTTTTATTTAACTTATTACTTTTTTGTTTTTTTTTGTTAATTATATTTTTAGTTATGCACTTTTTTTAATATACATATATTTATTTTCACATACCGCTTTCGACCTCCACTCATTTATTTTTATTACTAATAGCCAAGGCACTTTTCAGACGCACACTTCTATTTTAAAATTGCAAAAAATATTAATAAGCCAAACTTTGATATTTTTTTTTACTTTCCCTCACCAAAAAAACTAATTAAATTTCCACTGCAAACTTTACACCATTTCACTAACCATTTCCACTTTGACTGCAGCTTTTGCACAACTCGCTGTTGCAGCAACACTGACTGGCATTCGCCGCGCTCAACAAGGCTAAGCTAACTGCCAGCGCTACAATTATACTCCCAACGTTGTCCTTCGGTGATATACGCGCCTCCAGCACAGCGTATAGCAACAAAAGTCGCGCCTTTCACGCTGCTGCCGAAACACTACTTGTAAGCGATTAGCGAGTATGTACAGCGTGTGAAATCAATGCCAACTTTTAGGCGCGTTAAATACGCTCGCCTCGCATGGCGCGAAGACATGTGAAAGGCCTGGCAGACGAGTGAAGTTACGCACACGTGCCGTCCATTAGTAATAACGAAGAGTAAGTGAGTGTCGTATCAATAAAAGTGAGCGAGCGCAAACGAAAGAGCATGGGAAAGCATAGAAATCGAGAGAGTTCAAAAGTGTATCTAGCAGAGCACGCTCTCTCATAAGTATACGCTCAGCTAAATACAACACACAGCAAACATAAGTTCTTGATTTGCACACACATTCAAACACACATAGAAATCCATGTATACGAGCGTGTCATCGTGTAGGCGCGTCTACACGGCGTATGTGCAACTTTTTGTTTGTTTACATAGCGTCATCAGCTGTTTTTAAGCTTTCGCCGCATACCGGCTATCATTTTGCTCAGCTTTCCTTTATTTACACCGCTCAGTTAGGTGCTTATGCTCTTTAGTTGCTCACTCATTTTGGCAGCGCTCTTGCTTTTCGTTGTTTCGACGGCGAAAACTGCATTTCTTCGCCACAATTTGCTTTTATCGTCTTCATGCTTATGCGTTGGTGTTCTTTTGTATAATTCTTACTGTCCTATCTTTCGTGCCGTTAGTTGACATCAGCATATTCTTCGTTTTGTTTACATTGCCGTTTTCGAAAGCCGGAAGCAACAAATGCGCATGTTGTATGCTGTTAGTTTTGTTAATTGCGGCAAATTCGGCTTAATTCGCTGTGTGAATATGAAATTTCCGTTACACATGCATAAATGCATATGTATGTAAATCGAAGTGCGCGCATATAGCTTTGATGTTTATGTATGATGCGTGTGTGAAATTTTGACTTTTGAGATATCGATTTAAAATAGCAATTCTTTACAAAAAACTATTTATTTGTCTGCACTGCCAACGAGCAGAAAAAATTATCGGATTGTTTGTAAATAAAGTAGTTGAGCAGTTTCGGGAAAACCTCGTTTCAAGTTTAATATGCTGAAGCTGACTGACCTTAACGCTTCGACACTATAACGAAGAGTACTTTAAGCCAAAACAAAAAAAACATTTTTTTAATCATAGACTGGTCTAACCACTTGATTGGTTGGTTGAAAAGGAAGGTGCAGAAGTTTTCTACCGCATGCAGTTGCACTTAAGCCATCATTACTATACCCACTCTGCTTCCATGCGGTAATCAATTAAGCTTTAGTCTAGCCTAGTTCTTTTCAAGTTGGAGCATTGGGGGCCGTGGAAGACAACCCGCCTGAACCGGCTGAAGGCTGGGCCTTCGCAAAGTTAATGTTCCAGCGCCTTATCATTTTCCGCGCATACTTTACTTCTAAAGGTAGGATCTTAGAGGTAGGTGCCCTGAAATGACTACTACAATTTTACTTAGTTCCCTCTTGTATGAAAGTAGAAGCTTTTTAGTCTGTCTTCAAAGTACTTAGTAGTATGCCGTGTTTGCCTTGTTAGTGCTTCAAGACCTGCGCTGTTCCTCTAGAGTCTATTGCTTCGAGCAACCTTTGAAGGCATTATTCTCTACTGGGGAAGAAAACGTTGTGTTTAACTACACACAGATCTACTTTTCTCGGTCGCACTGCCAATTTAACCCAAGATCAGTAACAAGTTCGAGCATAATACCGTGCCCGCAGTGACGCAGAACATATCTAACCACTTAAGTTTATAAATACTCGTATTCTAGGTGATTAATGTAAGTGAAGATTTACCCTAGAGCTCAGAGTAACCAACGTCATTTCGGAGTACGTTCAGAACGGCGCAATAATCAAATCTCATTTGAGATCAAACAATGTCGCTATCTGAGCACAGAACTAAATTTTGAAGCTCACCGAGTTGAGTTCACACCAATTTCAGTTGACTCAAGAATTTTCAGTATCCGTTGGACAACTATAAAGTTGTAAAAAATTTTTTTAGCTTAAAGTGACAGTGAAGTATGCAGTCAGAGAGTTATTTCGACATATCGAAATGCCTTGTTCAAGTTACTACAATATTTTGAGGCAACGAAAGTTCACTTTTTTTAATTTTTTGTGAATTTTCAAAAAATTATCTCTTCTTTTCTTCTTCTTCTTCTTTTATATGTCTGTCAAAAACAAATGCAATTACATACCAACAATTGACAAGAGAAATAATACTGCACTTGGGAGAAATACGAACTCACATGTTAATAGATTTAACTGTTATACGTATGTATGTCCGTATATATCGGCATTTTAAATTCCTGGAATAAGATTGATAACATATTTCAGTTTTTGCCTGCATTTGGCAGCTATGACCAAAACACATAGTCAATAAAAGGCGCCGAAATTTCTGGCCAAAAGAGAGTCAACAACAATAATCCCACTAAACAAACGCTACAACTTTTGAGTGGAATGCAGCTAGCGGGATTCCATTAAACTTGCAACTTGTTTTTATTTATGTACGAAAGCTTCATGAGCAAATACAATGTGCATAGAAATAATAAAAAAAATTACAATAATAAACAAAATGCAAGTACATTCATTGATTATTTAACGTATCAATAAAATATAATAAAGATAAAAAATTGCAAACGCATGAAACAGCGGGTGGAACAGTTTATCAAGCTTTCAGGTAACGGTGTCAGGGTTCTCATACTCAAGGAAAAGAAATACAAAAATTAAAACAAAAACTTGAGTAGATAAGAAATAAACAATAAATGAATATAAAAGGCATACTTTGTTTGTATGTATGTTGAATATATTGAATCCAATAAAAATTACTAATCTCATCTAGAATATGCGCTTTTAGATGGCTAAATCTTTTACTAGCACAAATCTAAACAGCGAGATTCATTAATAAAAGCAAATAAAAGCAGTTCAAATTCCTATTTAGAAGTGATATATTCCTATTTAGAAGTGATATGAAAGAGATATATTTATACATATACATACATATGTTTGTTTTGAATACAAATATTGTGCTCTCAATCTACAAAATATATTATATTTATAGAAACCGCTAAAGAGGCAATTAGGTCAACTGAAAACTCTTCTCCTACAAACTAATTATACGAGTATATAATTTCCATGAGATTATAACTGGAACAAAGATAAAGTATTTCATATTAACCCTGAACATATTTCTAATATATCTGAGAAAATGGTTTGAGTGCTGATTACGATGGAAATCTAAAATCTTTTCAATATAAAGGAGTTCCAAGAAAAAGACAAAATATATGCTTTAGTTTTTACTGCGAAAGGAGCATTGCCCTTATGAAGTAAATGGCTGTAAGCAACTTACGCTAAACGAATTTGGCACAATGTTCCGTTAAATGATCGTTAGTGTTTATATCAGAGATTATACCAAAGTTCCGATCCTCACGACCGACTAACAACAAAATAATTAATTATACATTCTTGCCCCCCGTGTAATGACAACTGCTCTAAAGTGTTTCGCCTGGGAAAAAATTTCTCAAAAAATTTTAACAGCTTTTCGGTGGCGACTTAACACTTGTAAGATACCTCCTTTGAACGAAAAAAATTAAACCACTATTTGGTGTTGAAGGACGAGTACTGGAATACATTGGATTTCAGATGAGATGCTTGTGGGTTCTACTTTAACTAATAAACAGCAGGGGAAATCCACTTATACTAAACTCATCAGACATTATTGTAAAACTAACTGATTTTCTATAGACTCCTTTATATATAACATCTGAGTAAATTTGACGCGAACTGACTAAAAACTACATTTTCACATATTTTAATACAAATCTTTATTATGGCATTCCAAAAAGGCTTCTGCGCCTATACAAACATGCCAACATTTAATTAAATTTTTCATACAGTTTTTAGAAACCTCGGCCGGGATAGTCTTCAGAACCTTCAGCGAATTTTAGTTTTTTAAGTTTCGGCTCATTTTTAGAGCGCAATTCGCTAGCTTCGTCATTATATTCATAAATCCACGTCGCGTTGCCAGAAATTTTGCATTTGATCGAAAATGTGTTAAGTCGACTCCTAAAAGATATTGAGATCCTCTGCAAGCTCTCTGTTATTAACAGAGGTAGATAAACGACTCACTTGAGGTAAGTTTTTGATGACTTTACGACCTTCACTGCATGCTTTATGCCATTTAAAAACTTATGTTCGTGATAAAGTATACTACCGGAATCACTTTTGTACAATCCAAGGATTAAAAATATCGATTACAGAACTGGTTTTAGATAGAATCTTGAATGAGTTGAACCCACTTCATAACTTGAAACATAATCTCACAACGGACGGGTTATTATATTATACAATATAAACTGCATATTTTTGGTGTCATCCGAGGTAGTTGAGTAGCTTCTCAACCAAACTACATGCCTGCTATCAATAAAAACTCGGCTATTTTATAAAGAGAGCACTATATTCATGAGCCTAAATGACTATTTAAAAATTTTTTTTCAGTTCTCCTGCCACATAACACAAGAATGTGTACCAAAAGAGCGGCCGAACCACGACAAAAGTCCAAATTCCGCTCGCATCAGACATTAGTAACAACAAAAACACAAGTACCGACAATGCCAACTAGAACGGATATAACATACACACCGGCTGCTGTGTCTATTGGCCAATGGACCAGCCATGGTCGTTCAGTTGACAAACTCGACGTGAGCGAATTTTCAATTTTCCGGCTACGCTGCGGTATGCTCATCCCTACTGACACGCAAACCACGACAATCATACGAAATAGTACAATAAAAAGGCTAACAAAAATTGTGAGCATTATCATTTTTGGGGGAAACATCGAATGCGAAAACTGACAATACATTCAGTTTGTGAGTGGAAGATCGACGATCGAGACGACGTTCAACGAGAACAACTGTAAACCAGAAATCGAACCAGCCGCCGAGCAAACGGAAGCAGACGACAAATGCCGCAGTGCCTTGCTTGCTTTGCTAGAAACGCGCGTTATGTAAGCGTTTGACATTGTTTCGCCACTTTGGCTGCCAAATAAATGCAGTTGTGCCGATTAAGATTGCCTAAAATATCTTAAATTTAATATAAAATTTCGCTATTGAATAAGTGCTGTAATTAAAACTCAACGAAAGACGTGCGTGTAACGGTAATAAAAGTGTGGAAAATTGTGACAAAACTATCGGAAAAAAGTTGGTGAAAAGTTTTATTTTTGGAAAGTGTTGACACACGCATCACAGCGCCGACTTACTTATGTATATATATAAATAGCTGCAATATATGTATATATTGTATATATCTATGTACATATATATATATATACTCAACTCAACTGTATCAACTTTAATTAAGTGTTGTATATGTGCAATAGCTTGTCAATCACCATTGCCGCACGTTTTGGAACACTCCATACACACATACATATACATTGTATATATATTTAGTCGATCACACACGCATATGTGTGTGTGTTAATGTAGTGCAGTGAAAAACTTGCAAGTGAACTTAATAAATTCTGCATTTTGTGTGCAATTGTTGGTGTTGGAAAAGCGAAAACTTCATGCAACGCATTTGAAATCGTGAATTTTTTTTTTTAAAAATAGCACAGAAAATTTTCAAAAATAACACAGAGCAGCACCTCCCTGGGCTGGCTAGTTGGCTGCTTGGCTATCTGGCTGCTTGGCTGGCTCGCTGACTAACTTAACTTGCACATCTTGTTCATATTTTGGGAATTAGTGTGGCAAATAAACACACAGATACATACAAGCAGAGATACACTACACAAATACACACAAGCAAACACAGTGGCAACTCTATAAGCGAATTGCCTGTCAACGTATTTGTGTGTATCTTGATTAATTAGTGTATGTGTGTATGTATATTAGTGCGCTTTGCTTGAACACGAGAATTACAAGCATAAATTGCATTTTGGCGAAGAAACAAACAAAAATTTGTTAAGTCAACTAAGGAAGTAGCGGCCCAAAGAGCGGGTAAGTGGTTGCCGGTTTTAAAGAATTACACAAGTTGATTTAGCAACGCGTCTAGTATGTATGTATATTAGGGTGGGTTAAAATAGTAAAGGTTTTTTTTTTGCTTCGTGCTCTGAAAAATTGGTGAACAGACAGCCCTCAGAAAGGTTCTCCAAGTATGACCTCTTAAATGTAACGGGAAGGTCCTCCGCGTTTTCCTTACTTACAACATTGTCATATAAATTTTCCAATAGGACACATCGTTTTTCCGGAAATCGAGATAAACCATTTTAACCATTAAAAATTCAACCCCGTCAACCGCTTCCTTTCCCCGATTTTTGGCATTTTCAAATGCTTCTGCGCTAGTCTATTTCAATTTAAAATGTTTTTTTTCATCGAGTTATAAAATTAAAAAAAAAAATTAAAAAAAAAAATTTAAAAAAAAAACTTTAACTTCGGTTGCACCGAAACTGTAATATCCATCACAAATACAAAAGGTTCCTTAGAAGAACTTGATTCCGATCATTCAGTTTGTCTTATAGCTATATGCTATAGTAATTCAATCTTAACAATTACTTCTGAGATTCCATTATTGCTTTAGATGATGATCCGTTCCAAATTTCGGTAATATAATATATATCGTCAAATAAAAATGTTTTCCATGCCCGCGCTTGATTCCGATCGTTCAGTTTGTATAGCAGCTATATGCTATAGTGGTCCGATATCGGTCATATCTGACAAATGACTAGCTTCTTGGTGAGAAAAGGTTAGGTGCTAAATTTCAGATCGATATCTCAAAAACTGAGGGACTAAATCGTATAAAATATATACAGACAGACAGATGAACATGGCTAAATCGACTCAACGCTTCAAGCTGATCATTAATATATATATATTTTATAGGATCTCCGACTTTTCCTTCTGGGTATTACAAACTTTGTAGCAAACATAATAAACCCTGCTCAGAGTATACAAACAAATTTGCCTTAAAATAGTGAAACTTCAACCGTTAATTTCCACTGAAGGGTAAAGTTTACGAAAAACCTGAAGGAGAGCAATTTGTAGAGCATTCAATCTTCACAAAATGAAATATGTTTTCAAGTAGTTGGCAGCGAGACATGAATTTTTTTATCTGATAATAATAAAAAAAATAGAAAACCGTTAGGTGAAGGCCCTTGCCGTTACAATAAAGAGCTCTCACTTAGAGAGCCTTGCTTAGAGGTGTCTATCAACCAATATTTCAGAGTACCAAGCGAGAAAAACACCTTCGGTTTTTACTCACCCTAATGTATATATATTATACAAATATGCATATGTCGGCATGTACATATATATCTATATATGCACATATTATTAGTGCGCCAAATTACAATATATTTAGGCACCTTCACAGCACTGTCAGCAGCTGTTAATTGACTTCCTGAGCATAAAATTAAGATTTTGTCATTGATTGCCAATTCGCCGCAATATGTCGCCCACATTTAATTGAGTTATATTGCTTATATACACTATACATATATTTGTCTGTGTGAAATTTGGAAAATACTCGTATGGTTTCCTAACATTAGAATTATTTGTCGATAGAACCTTTGGTAAAATGCTAAAAATATTTGTGGAAAAAAATTTTATTTAAAATAACTGAATAAAGGTTTTACTTGTAGAACTCTTCTGTTATTCTGCTACAAAAGTGATATTTTGAGCTACGTATTAAATAAAATTAAAAAGTAATGCACGGACACATCCATATTAATTTTTAGCGTCTATATTTTGCTTTTTTAGAGGTTTGTTATTTTAAGTTGCCAACCCTTTATACCGAAAACATTTTGTAAAATTGAGAAAAAAGAAGAAAAAACATAAACTTCGGTTGCACCATATACATAAGGGTGGAGCGAAAAAAAATTTTTTTGGTTAGCCTGAGGGTAAAATTTGTAGATTATAAAAACGGAAAATTTTTGGAACAAAAAAATGTTCAACATCTAGAGCAAGCTCACTCACTTTTAAAGTAAATTTCGAGTAAAAATTTTTATTTCGTTAAAAATTTTTTATAAGTGTTCTAGAAGCTCGTTATCTTTAATTAAAAGTTATCAACTTAAAACAAATGGTTGTGGTCATTATTAGAGTTTTAAACAAAGTCTTAAGCGACAACATGCTTTCCTTTAGTTAGTTTAGAGTTTAAACCAAAAAAAAATTGTTTAACCAAAAAAAAATTTAACTAAAAATTTACTTCAAAAGTGACTGGACCGCCAATACCTTGTTCAGGGAATCAAAATATAATTATTTTACAAATTTACGCCATGCTTTTTGTTTTTTGGTTAATTTTACAATTTATTTTAGACGATATTACGAAAATTAAACTCAGAAGTTTTCAGAAAGCGATGCGCTCTTTCGCACAGTCGCTGCCATAAACGATCTCCTCTCTTCAAGTCTCATATGAGTCGTCAATCAGTAAACGAAATGACATCCCCTGGCTTTTTGAGGAAATTATTTCAATACGTAGTGTTTTTGAGGAATTTTCTAAGAACAATTTATGAGCATTATATATATATGTATACTCAAACCCTTCAACATTCCCGAAATAATTGTTTCGACTCAATAACTTCAATGACCTTGATGAAATAAATATAAGTAGTGTTTACCCTTACCAATTTTGTTTCAACTATAACAGAGGCAGCTATATTAGTGGGTTTAAGCTTAATGAATGAACAGATTGAATAATATGATACCTATATACCACTATACAATATAGCTGGTCCCTTCGACCGCTCTTAGTAGTGGTGGACTACAAAAATCCCATATTAATTGTGAATTACTGTTCGAAGCTGTTTCCTTCGACGAGATTATGCTACAAAGTCTAATTTGAGATAAATTGGCTGTATGAAAGCTATAAATTATAGTCATTCTATACTACTACTATATATAGTTCATTCCAAAAGATGATTAATATCTATGTAAAATGCTCTCATTCGTCAAATATATAGATGCCTGTTTAAAATCCACCACGAAATTGCTCAAATAACCTAGGTACAAAACCCACAAGTATAGTGGCATGACAGAATCTCAAATGTTATGGTATTATACTAGTATGTATGTACAGTATCCCTATTTAAGAAAATAGCAAAATTAAACAAACTGTCTAATTTGGTCTGATTTTAGGCTTTTATATAACAGTTGAAAGTAGATTTGACTTTAAGATTGACATTTCTAATGATCGTCAATGTCTACAGGTGCAACCAAACAGCCTTTTATGTGATTTTTGGTGTTGTAAATTATTGAAGGAAAGCCTTTCTCTTGCAACCCACAAACCAATCTTAAATGAATTATATATTTTATTTTTATATAATTATAATATGAATGACAGATTATATTCTCAGAAATCGTAAGACACATAAAATAATTGAGGTCTTACGCTCTAGAACTCGAGCATTTTTATAGAGGAATGATAATTTCCATCCGTTCAAAACTATATATCATCTGAATAAGAAAACATAAGTTAAATTTTTTTAAATCTCACCGTAGGTGTGCCCTTTAAAGCCGAAAATAAAATTATATAATTATTGAAAATTGAGAAATTTAAGTACAAATGAATAATGCTCTTAAATATAATATTATCGATAATATTCGAATATAAATCGATCTAAAATATCTTAACTTTTAAGTTGAGTTCATTCTCTAATTTTTTTCTGTGATACGAACTACAAGTATTTTGAAATGAGAACACACCCTAAGTCACATTTGCATCACGTTTTTGCAACACCCACATTTTCATATGTGATTATCTGAAACTGTGTATATAATATTACATATGTATATAAGATGTATATATTTTTTCCCGTTTACATATGCACTCATATTGATGCACATATTTACACATAACGCAATAAAAGCCATACAAAAATAAATATGAACACTATATACTAATATTTGTAGCAAATTATATTTTAAGAGATCAGACGATTGATCGCATTTGTTAATTTGCGTCACAAACGTTTGTTTTAGTGGCGTGCCACAAATATTCGCGTGTATATATAATATTTATATATGTTTATATGCTAATATGCTATGTATTTATAGACGGTCTCTATTTTTTCTGCCACTTTTGTTTATAATGTTGTGGTAGTGAAGTTATGTTTTTGTCCACAAATTAAATTCCTTTCAATACACAATTTATATTGTGAGCATTTTATATGGATGGGTACACTGAGAAAGACATAATCGCTAGAGCAATGACCATTTTGTGGTACACGAAATAAAAATTCAAATCGAATTCAATCATTTTATAATTGCCTGGCGAGAAATATTTAACAGCGAAAAATATTTAAACAAGAAAAAATGTTGACTTCAGCTCCATTGAAGCTATAAAACCTTTCAAAAGTGCAGTTCTTACAGCATAAAAGAATATAAAAATTGTTTATCTTAATTTTGATAGATCAGTTTGTATCGTAGCTATATATATGTTAAAGTGGTTCGATTTGAAAAATTTGTTCGAAGATTGTAGAATTATCTTTGCCAAATTTCGTGAAGACGTCTTATTGAATAAAAACTATTCCATACAAGAACTTTTTTGATAAATTTATTTGAAGATTCTGTCGTTGCCTTGCGTAATAATCTATGCCAAATTTCGTGAAGATATCTTGTAAAATACACAAGTTTTCCGTATAAGAACTTGATTTGGATCGGTCGGTTTATACACGTAATGAAACTATATGCAATAGTGGTCTGATGTCAACAATTCCGACAAATGCACAGCTTTTTGGGGAGAAAAAGACTTGTGCAAAAATGTCTGATCGATATCTCAATAACTGAGGGACCAGTTCGACAGACGTAGATCAGGCGGATATGGCTAAATCGACTCAGTAAGTCTCGCTTATCATATATACGATATATTTTATAGGGTCTCTAAAGTTGCCTCCTGGGTGTTGTAAACTTCATGGTATAAAAAGGGATTTTTTTAAAAACTCCCAAGTAAATTCCTAGATAGCGTAGTAGGCCCCTTAACCGATACGAACATGCCAACTCTTATTCAATTTTCCGTACACTTGTTATACAACTCGGCTCGGATGGCCTTTAGTGCGCGTTCTCCGTAAGCGGATTTTTCAGTTTCGAATACAGAAAAAAGTCACAGGAGGTCAAATCAAATACGGGCTCTAACAATATATTATATTATATTATATATAGTGGTGGAAAATCTGTGAATATTCTGCCAACAAATGCGGCCGTTTACGACGAATTACTTCACGTAGCAAAGCCGCAAAACGAACAAGTCGTATTCCCTGTTAAACATTTGACATGGAATGAATTCATTGTGCACTATGAGCATCACCTGATATTTGACCTACTTTGTGGTGGTTTTTTCGGTTTCCAGTCATTTTTGAAGCCCAAACGCTAGATTGTGCATAATTTTTACGTCATATTCTTAAACCTACATCTCGAATATACATACAATAGTTTTCAGCTATGATGTCAAGCATCTCTTTTGCGACCTCTACTCGAAGTAGTCTTTTGGTACGATTCCTTACGAGCTTTATATCCAAAACATTAACCAAAATGTCTGAAATCGATCTATAAGCGATGTTGCGATACTCTGCTATCTCTCTGATGCCCACGCGATGTTTAAATGGACCAGTCCTAGTCATATTTGATCTTGAAAATGGTTCTCATAACAATCTACCAGCCGGAGCCACAAAAGAGATTATCTTAAAACAAATTCACCCAATAATTGTAATTCTTCTCTATTTCAACTTTGTGTTGACTATTGCTAGCTACCACAGTATCAAATGCATCAGATCATTGCTGAAATGTGTTTGGAGGAGTGGGTATTCGGAAAGAATAGATGAATCTCCTACATCTCTGCAAAAAGAGAGCTATGTTCTCTTCGATCGACTTTAAGTTGGTTGGAGGCTTTTCGTTCTCTCATAACTTTGCTGAAAACACTTAGTCTCCAACGTGGTAGATACTTAGGATTAACTATACAGGAATGGCTTCAAAAAGATTCTTAATAGATTTAACAAGTGTGTCGGCTTAGCAATATTGCGATACTTTTTGAGAAAATTATATTTTTTGCTAAAAGCAAAATCATAATGAACACACCACTTGTTTGCACTTAAAGCAAATTATGTCAGCGCTACAAAGTTGGGTAGCTATAAACCAAACATAAATATCAATGTATGTATATATATGTATACATGAACTTACGAAGATATACTAGATATTCCATGGAACTTCATAAGCATCCAGCAATACATTAAATTTGTGTCCAAAACTTTTATGATCAGATACTAAAGTTATTTTTAAATATATAGAACAAAGAGACCACAACACAACAGATGCAAATGTTGTATGTTGTATGCTGCTCTACACCCTATTGCATTCTATTATATAATATGTTTGTATGAAAAATGAACTCATAAAATTGTTTGCGCATCTATTTTCAGACAGTTTGACTCGATTAGATAGAAATATGGCGACGCATTCGAACGCGAACACTTTTTCAACCAAACTAAATCGTAATGTGTTGACTATGCCAAAATGGGTGGTACGTATAATTATTCTGAACATATTCCATTTATTATTTTATATATTTATATAACACATATTTAAAGACGGAAACTCACGATCGCGTCGGTCCGAAACCACCACCACCACCATCACCCACGACGTCGGATAATACCCTTAAAGTGCCAGTTTTGCCACCGAAAACGAAAAATCTACCCGAACCTGATTATGAAGTCATCGAGTTCTCTGGTCAGCAATACTCGAATGAAGTTCTTAAAGCGGGCAGTCGTTCGAAAACCCCAAGCACACCAGGTACTCATAAGATTTATTGATTTCTAGTATTGCTTTATTGATTTTGTTTTGACTTCTTACAGATGCAAAACTGAAATGCACGCTCTGCGGTTCACATCATCCCTGGGTCACATGTGAGGAGTGTGCACAGCAGATCTTTTGCGCCTCATGTGACGATATGTTTCACAAGCATCCCAAGAGGCGTACGCATGTGCGAAAGGTTGGTATATCTTCAAAAAATTAAAAGAAATTGAAGTTTCTTTGAATTTGTGGTAAAAATTGTCAGCGTCTTCACGTACTTTGCTATAATTCTCTATAATTTTATCGTGTTTTTATCCCACATGCGGAATCATAAAATATTTGTAATCACTGTCGAATAATATATATTACCTTAGTTCCTTTTTGAATATCAAGGATGTTATATATGTGCTAATATAAAAAACTAGCCCTAGAAGTTTAGCAAAGCGATCGATTTCTCAAATTTTCAATCCCACAAACCCTATTTACTTTAGAAAATCAACCATTCTAAGGACTCTTTAAAATATGATCTAAATGTTGTTAGTATTTCCCAGAAACAGAAACACTTCGAGGTAGAAAGTTGGAACTATTTTTAGGTCTCCAAAATTATTTCAAGTTCATTGTATCAGGATTATTAGATAATGCTTTTTCTAGCATTTACACGAGTGTAAAATCAAATCAATTCGGCTATCCTGAATATCGTACATACGCTCGATATCTGAAAAGTCTATAGAACTAAAAAGTAATGAATCTGTCTATAGATTCTGGTATTTGATTAAATTATAATCTGGAGAAAAATATCAGAACCCGACAGATAATTAAATTGCCGATAATGACCTATAGTGACATTTTCTCTAGACATATTCTTGAGTTATATTATGGTCTGGATAATAATATCAGTAACCCTCAAGTAATTTTACCTATAATCGATAATCACCTGTAGTTCTCCCTCGAACATTGACTCGTATTTTGGTCGAAAGTGTCGAGTTATGGTCGTTGAGAGAAAAAAGTTTTTTTTGTATAAACCTTTTTTCATATTAGTAAAGCTTTGCAGTACTTTGGGCAGATCAGTTCCAATTCTAGAGTGAAATCGAAATTTTATAGGTGATATGTTTCGGTTAATCAGCGTTCTAGTGGCAACTAGCAAAAACAGAAAAATTCTTCAGCATCTACTAATGTCACTAACGGGTCCACAAATATCACAGAATATTTTCCATTAAATTTTCGAAGCATTTTCATACACAGATTGTAATAGATTATAGATTAAAGATTATAGATTACAGATTATAGATTATGAATTATAGATTATAGATTATAGATTATAGATTATAGATTATAATTTATAGATTGTAGATTATAGACTATAGATTGTAGATTATAGATTTTAGATTATAGACTATAGATTATAGATTGTAGATTATAAATTATAGTTTATAGGTTATAGATTATAGGTTATAGACTACAGATTATAAGTTATATACAAATAAGGAATCGAAGACAAGAACATCCTTTATTAAGCTATATATTAAAATTAATATTAAAATGTGTATTTCACTTCCTTTCCTCCACTAGGCCATTGATCAGAGCCGTCCACCATTGCCGCCGAAAGTTTTACCCGGACAAAATGGACCGACACCACCGGTGGCACCACCAAGACGCAAGGCACGCGGATTTACACCACTACTGCCGCGCAAGGAACAGGTACGCTTCTGCACGATTTCATAAGCGATTTCGGTACCAAGTCATAAAAAAAAGCCTCATATGAAAAGAAAATAATAAACTAAAATCTTAATCTCTCCACGACGTTTTGCACAAAGCTTCCATAAAATAGAGCGCGCAAGCGCCAAATCACAACGCTTTAATAAAACAAAAAAAAAAATTTTATAATACTGCCTTTTACCTCGAAAAACTATTTGACCAGAATTTAGCGTATTAATTTACTGCATTCTATGAAATTAATTATATACTATGTAAATAGTTCTACTTTTACTATTTTCGGCGCTAAAAATTTTACTAAGCACTAACACAATTGTCAAAGTTTGCGCAAGCAACGCCTTGAAAATGTGTTTTCAATAAAAATTCAAATTGTCAATTTCGAACTCAAAACAAAACTCAAATTATTGAATTCTTCTCATATACCGTTATACTCGTACATGCATTTGTACGCTGAGTTTTGGAAATCTACCAACAATACAACAACACTCAATTGTTTTAAGTGTACTTTGCACAATTTGCCACTCCTCAATTCCAATTAGGTCAACACGAATACGCTGCCAATACCACCCTCGCCGACACCCTCATTGAAGAGCACCTCCTGGCAGGATCGCGTCAGTTCGCTCAAAAACGGACTGAATTTGATGAATCGCCCATTACCTGAAACACCCAAGACGCCGAACAGCGAGCACACATCGTCGCGTTCGGTCACGCCTAAGTCGGTCTTCGATAGCATACAACGTCCACCGTCCGTCACACTGGAGAAGATTAAGAGTAAGGCTAGCGCCACATTGGATCGAATGACATTGCTGCAGCAACGCTATCGTCAACACAAAGAGGAAAGCCTGAAGGGCAACACGGATGGTTCTGTTACTGATCAGGTAATTATAAAGTACAAAATTTATATACAAAATCTTCCTACGTCATCAATTAGTACTCGCCATTTAAAGCGGTGTTCATTGGAACCTCAGACACACCATCAGAAGTCCACATGTTCGTGACGTACATACATAACCCTAATTTGTTTGTTATTGTTTTTGTTTCATTTATGTTCGTGCGTCTGTACATAAATATGTCCCATTGTGTCACTACCACCGCTACCAACACCAACAACAACAACGTCACTGCCAATGCCACACATCTTGTCAATACAAACACCATATAGAACCTCTCATTCGATCAATGGTCAACCATCTCACCGTCGCCATCACATTTTCGCTCAGGCAGCATGTCGTCCGGGATCAATTCATCTCATTTTGACCTCACGGATGATACACATTTTCACAATATGTTTAATCAACGGCAGATGCATATGTCCGCGGCACAACAGCAACGCGCCAACGGTCAAATGGGTACGCGTGGTATGAGCACGTCCGTCTTCAATTTGAATCACATAAATCGGCGCGCGCCAGAGCCACAGAATGCGTGGATGAATAATCCGATGCAGCAGGTGAGTAAGAACTAAAGTGTTAAGTTTTTTGAAGTGCTCTCAGTAATCCGTATACATATTCAATAATCAATAAGTGATTCTTAAGTTTTCTTAAAGAATGTAAAGACATAGAGCCAGATTTCACAATACCACCAAAGTCTTTTGACGCAAAAAATTCGTTGTGATGAAGAAAACGTTTAAGAACTGGATTTTGGCTAAAGTCCGATCTGAGAAAACTGTAAAAGTTTGACAAACTGTAGATGAAACAAGCTCTACTTCACTGGATAAAAAAAAGCTACTTTCGTTTAGAGAGTAGTAGTCTTTACTGAGTTGAGTGGGTCAACCGTAGAATCAATAAGCAAGTTCTCACAATACTAACAAAGTCTTTTGATGCAAAAAAATCGTTTTGATGAAATAAACATTTAAGAACTGGTTTTTGGACAAAAGTATGATCTGACGAGACTGAAAAAGTGCTTCAAGCTGTAGATGGAACAAGCTCTACTTCACCGGACCAACGAATAGTACCTTCATTTAGAGAGTTTTAGCCTTAACTTAGTTGGATGGGTCAAACCGTAGAAGACTTCTGACGAATTATATGGGAAACTGCGATCTGCAGATATATAAAACCCCTAAATCATTATAGAGCTTTCCAGTGTACAGATACTTATGAGCATTTTTGTTGCTTGTAATTTAAACTCGAGTTTAAGTTAAAGGTCGGAAATTAATTTAATTTAGAGAATTACCTTAGAAACAAAAATTAGATCGATGAACTCGTGAACAAGACTAAGGCTGACCTAAACTGGCTCATAACTCTATGCCGATCACTTAAGACAAGACCTTCACAAAAAGTAGATCAAAATTAACAAATTTACAAAACCTTCTCCACAGGCTCAGTCCATGGCTCATCTGAATTGCGCAACCTGTACCAACCCACAATCGCATGCCTGGCACGCTCATCAACAACGCATGCCAATGAATATGCCGGGCGGAGAATGGGGTAATCAATTCAACTCACAGCAACAGCTTAATCGCTCAAACTTGTCGCTCAACGTTGGCGCCGGCTATATGTTACCACATCACCATGGCGCTGGTGGCATGATGGCACCACCACCTGTCTTTATGAACCAAGCGGGCATGATGGCGGGCATGTATCCATATCCCTACAATGCGGGTATGCCTGTTATGAATCCAGGTAAGGATTATATAATAAAAAATGTTGCTTTCTTGCCAAATAATAATTTTTGTAAACCGTTTTGCAGGTCTCATGGGCATGCCACCGCCTACACGTTCACGCGCGACCTCACGAGCCGGATCACGTGCCGCTTCGCCAGCAATGAGTCGCAAATCTATGCCGGTGCGGCGAAAACAACGCACCACCAGTTATGTTGAGGATGAGCTTACCGATGATGAAGACTCCGATCAAGACGATCGACGATCGATTGTTTCAAATCGTTCCGGCATGACTAACACGCTACACGCACGTCAACGACGCATATCGAGTGCCTCTCAGCTGATGGATACTGAAAGCGAAACAAATCCACGACAAACACGCGGAAAGCTACGTGATCGGCGCGGTTCCGTTGCTAAGTCAGTGCAAAGTGATTGGTTGCCTAGTCGACGGACGACAGTGAACCAGAGTAACAGTGGCAGTCGACAAAATGAACCAGGTTTTATCAACACACTCAAACCCACGCGCATTTATTCCGACTTGGACTCAGAGTCATCGGGCACACGTGCATTGGTGCAAGCTAAAATACAAGAGAAACTGGATAAGGGTACAAAGCGTAGCAGTTCTAAAGAGAAAGTAGCGGAAGCCGCGCACCAAAAATCCATTAAAGTTTCTACAGAAGTGCAAGCAGGCGGTAGTCGGACGATTGCTAAAACGAGCACAGCAACTGAAACGAAAACTGTGTCAGCTGGAAAATCAGAGATCATGAAAAACGAAACGAACCATGTATGGGGTGACAAAAGCGAAGCCGCCGAAACTGAGGAGGAGGTGGAGGAAGAAGAAGAGGAGAGCGGTAGTGAAGAGACTGAAAGTGAACAAGAAAAAGCGGCTGGGGAAAGATCAGACACTGTCGGAGTTACTCGATTAGAGGAAGATAATGCGTCCCAAGTGGCGCCCACCGATGAAACTAACGAGGATGACTTAGGTCCCCCACCCTCGACGCCAGATCATGAATGGGAGTGTGAATTCTGCACATATGTTAACGAACCGAATGTGAAGATCTGTTTAATCTGTTGTAAAACACCTAGCCGTGTGCCGCGCAAGACTTCTACAACAACGGCTCCCACAAAACATCCCATAGTTGAGGAACGGTCAACAAAAGTTATTGAAAAACCATCGATTAGTCCAGAAAGACCCATCGCAAATAAAGAGAAACAAACCAGCAGCACAGAACGAACGAAAGACAAACCGAAAGACAAAGTTAAAGAGAAAATAAAAGACAAAGTAAACAGTACAACCACCAGCACCAGCACATCAACTGGAACGGTTACAACTGCACTCAAACGAAAAACCGGCGTCACACAGAGCATCATAAGTAATCTGACGAATGGCATATCGAAGCTCAAGATCACTTCATCCGAGAATGAATCGGGTAACTCAACGCTAGCGAAGAAGAAAGGTAGGAGCAAGAAAATCACATTTTTGGAAGGAACGAAAATCAATTAGAAGCTCGTATAGACATAAACTAAGTGAACCACAAGTTATATATAAACTTTACTAACTAACTATATAACACATAAACTTTTTAATTTGTTACCCTATGTTTCGGTATTTTACTTTTGCAACAACAATTTTTTTAATTCTTTGTAATACTCACTAACTTTTTTTATAAAAACAAATAAATTTAAAATAAATATACTTTCATTATGCTTACGACTATTGTTCCAACCAAAAACTGTTGTTTTCTTCCATTTCAAAGTCCCTAATGTCCGTCTATGCACACACACAAGCCCCGCTTAAGCCCGGCATCCGCCTAACTTTGAACTCTCTATATAAACTTACAGAAACCGTTGAGGATGTGTGGGCCGCTTTAGATGATAACATACAGACCACAGCTAATGAGATAATGCGTAAAGCGGAAAAGTCCAAACAGAGCAACAAGGTCTCCACTAGTTGCGGCACTTCACCCATACGGGAAATAACGAAAACTAAGGAAACCTCAAGTATACAGCGAAACGTGAAGGAAACTGGCACTTCGCCGCCACCGCAAAGTATTTCGACTCAAGTAGGCGTAATTGTTCTTATTTAATGCTTAGTTGGTGTAAACATTATTGTTGTTTTTATACAGACCTACGATACGGTACCTTTACGACAACGCGAACCAAGTGTCACAGAAACTATGCCCACTGGAAGTAACAATTTGTTTTACAACGAAAATACACAGGTTTGTAGATAAGTAGAGACGAATCGGTCAAACCTCACTCCACACTCCACAGAGTTCTTAGTTATGTCCACACAAAACCTCCATCTGTACAATATCTTGTTTGTAGATATACGGGTACTCAGGTATGTCAAGTCGGTCAAATCGCACTCCAGACCCCAAAGTATTCATAGTTATGCTCACTCAATATCTCCATCTCGACTACATATATCTTAGGTATAAAATGTTCTTCAATTAAATACCTACCATCTTTCCATATCTACAAAACCTTAAATATTTATAACACGTTTAGGCAGTTATTTTAACCAAATTTTTAAGAGAGATTTACTACTGGATCGGAGTTCCGAGCTCTATAGTCTAAATTCTAGTGTTTAAACTCGCAATACTGTCTAGATATATTCTGAACTGCCATAAACCTTCCCTTTAGCATGAAAAATTGATATGGAAAGTTTTAAGTATTTTCGTAAGGATATCATTTTATTTAAATAAAAAGTTAAAGGTTTTCAGAACACTAAAACCTCATCCAACCTTCCTAAATATTGACAGAGACTTAGATTACGAATTAGATTAAAAAAGCAATATAAAAATGTCAACTTAATAGCGAAAGCTTGTTTGGCTGCATATGAGTCAAACGTACATACTTATAGTTACACTTATTTATATAATCTTGATATTAACAATTCCAGCTACGTCGTGAAGTACCTTCACCATTAAGTGTTTTCTCACCAGATACGCCCCACTACGAGCCTAGACACAAAGAGCCCGAAACTGAGCTCTACATACTACTGAAGGTAAGAAGATTCGCTGCAATTTTTTTTTAATCAAAAATACTCAATTCCCACACACTAACAGGAAGCCGAGCTCTATAAATTCACAGCAGAGGAACTGCATGCAGCGCTGAAGTATTGTGGTCCTTCAGTACATCCGGTACAATGGTTACGTGAAAACTGGCACAAACTTATACAAACCGTACAAAGTTTGTCGACGAAATATGGACAGGAACGTGTAGAGAATATTATCGGCACAGTATCACAGGGTGAGGCGAGAGATGCGCTACGTCAACATGGCGGCAATATATGGCAAGCGGTATCAGAATGTATCGAACAGCGACAGCGGAAGTACCGCGAGATCTCAAATAAAGGAAACTACTCGCGCGAAGACATCGTAACTGCGTTGACTATACATCAAGGTAATGCAGATCTGGCGCTACTGGACTTGGGACGCACACAGTTGAAGCCATTTTTAATGCGTATACGTGGCTCGCCAGCTGGTGTTGAGAATGAGAGTGGTGTAAACTTTTTCGGCGACAACTCAGTGGAGCATACAATTCAGCCAGGTTAGTGTGAATATTTTCGCACCACCCAAATTCTTTACAGTCAACAATCTTAACTACGCCAACACTTTTGTTATATTTTTAATTTCACCGTTTTTTGTTTCTCTCTATCTCTCTCTCCTCATTATAGAAATTCATGATTTCCTCAGCGCAAACGCTTCGGAATGTTATCAAACACCGAATGTAGCTGGTGCTGCTTTCATAACTGATCATCCCACGCTATCACACGCATCATCTACTAACGAATTACGTAATACCATGTACGATAGCATTTACCGTCATAGTCCTTATAGTAGAGAGGCATCATCAAGCAGATTTCATCTAGACGATCCCGCATTTAATAATCAAAACATGTTAAAAGATCTCGAGACCCTTATTGGTAATATCGAGCAAAATCAAGCGAAACAAACTGAACCGATCCTCAAAACTATGGAGTCGATGTTGGCCAATAGTTTAGGAAAAAGTGAAATGGATAATGAAAATGATCCCGAAATGATGCGAATACTGATGAAAAGCCCCATAACTACCCAGCATGCCAAGCGTATAACCTCCGATTCAAATAGTAGAAGTCAGAGTCAATTGGATGTGAAGAACTTTGTTTGGCAGCATATTCAGGAAATAGTACCGAACTTGGTGCAACAAGTGGAGTTAGAACTCATGGAAGAAGATGCAATGGAAGTCAATGCAAATAAAGACACATCTTTAGAACAAAAGGTAACACCGCCAGAGCCACCACCAATCGATGCTGAGGAGTTCATATTGGAGGAAGTCATTGGACCAAATATAAAAGAAGCGTCTATACGGGAGTTGGTGCCACCCGAGTTCATATATGCGGCAGAAATTGCAACATTCCGCATGGAATTCGATCGCGCATTGGATAGAGAACATGAGGATGAATTCGAGTTAGACAGCTTTAACGATGCTGAGAGGAGTATATATAAAATGTATCAAGCCCCAGAGGAAACGAAAGTAACTCTAGAAAGTGCGATGGTTCCTGAGAAAGAAACCGAATCCGACAAAATCATCGAAGAGAGTATAGTCGCAGATGAAAATCTTCCTCAAGAAGTACAAGAAATAAGAACTGAAAGCGAAAATACAGAAACAAATCAGCAAGCAATGGAAAATGATATGGAAGCAAATGATCAAACTGAAATCATCGAAGACAATGAAAGAACCGAAATTGAAAATGCGATTACTAAGCCCAGTACTGAGGAAACTGACAAGACAGTTTATGAAATAATTGAATTACCCAGTGAACCCGACTTTGTAGCGACCGAACAAACTGCTGAAATCCTAACAGTAAGCGAAAATTCTGAGGTTACAAGAGCAACTACAAATATCGACGCGTTCGAAATGAACACTACAATAACCACAGCTGAAGTACAAACCACACTTATAGAGAAAACTGCCAGCGTTAGTACCGAAGTTTCTGTAGCTAATATATTAGAGACACCTGCGCCCCAGAAAATAGAACCACCAGCTATTGTAAACTCTGCTGAAACTACAAAACTACGAAGAAATGAAAAGATGCAGAAACGTCAGAGAAAAAATCAGTCAAAGAATGCGAATGACTCAGAAATAAAAGCAACGGCGTCCATTCGAAGAAATAGTAGTATAGACCAAAAGGAAAGAAAAAATATAAACTCTCAAGAAAAAACCGAAAACCAAGACATTAAAACAGAGGGTTTAAGAAATAATGACGGAGCTATTTCGCACCATCAAGCTCCAGAATCGACTGAGTATCAACATGCAGATGCGACCACGTCCCTTACCGCAGATAACATTGAAGCCAACAACCATGCTTTAAACACCAAAGAACGCCAACCGAAAGTGTCGAAAATTCCAGTACGTCGTAGCGCAAGTCGACTTTCTGGTGAGCAAAGAACCAAACACCCTAGTCAACTAACTATTGTCCAAACTAGTAACAAACTAACAACTGAGAATGAAGTCCAAGCAACTAACAATGCTAGAGATACATTAGAACAAGCGGTCATTTTAAATCAAACAGGTGGAGAAGCAGAGGAAATATATATTATTTTAGACAACGATGCAATTAATGGAACCGCTGTAGGTGAAGATAACCAGATTGATAACAATATAGAAAGTTTGTCCGAAAAGCCAGAAGAGGCAAGTGAACAGCTGAATGAAGTCGACGGAGAACAACCTTCTGCGGACAAAGCGGCTTATCCACAAACGGAAATGGTTACAGCTGAGCAGCTAGTTGTGACACAAATAAGCGGGACAATACAACCTCTTTCAATACACGACGACTTCAACAAACAAAAATATACTAGTCAGATAACCGAAAATACCAACCATGGTAATCAGCACAATCAATTCGATGGCGAGACGACTTCGGTAGTGGACAGGGCTCAAGCAGACACTGAAACAGAAGCAGAAGGTCAAAATACAGAAGCCACAGAAGAAAATTTGGGAAATAGCACTGAAGAACTTCTCATGCAGACAAACGAAAAATCGCTTCCGGTGTTGATGTCAGAAAAAGAAATCAGCACTCAAGAACTTCAAAACCAAGGCAAAGAATATCCACCTTTGCAAGTGACAGTCGATGAAACGAGTCAGGGAGAAAATAATTCTGAAGAAAGTGCTCAACAAATTCAAGAAGAAAATCTTTCGCAACCAACAGCTAAAGAAACTGGGCAAGTGGAAGTCAAATCCGAAGGAATGGTTCACCGTGAAGAGAAAGAACCAGTCTTGCTGGTACCGGTTGAGGAAATCAATCAAACAGAAGGCGAAGAACATTTCAATCAAACTGTGATAGAAACACCCACAGCTAGGCACGACGAGAGGACCAACCAAATAGATTCCCAGCAATCGACAGAAGAAGACAGAACATTAAGTCCAAACATGGAAGAATCTGGCAATCAATTGACTGGAAAAGAAACTACACAAACTGAAACCACCACAGAACTGTACAGTTATGGATCACCCACCAACGAAGTATTTCAAGATACAGCTGAGCTTTCGGCGGATGAAGAATTTGATAACAATATAAGTAACCCCCTCTTACACGAAAGGCATGACGGTAATGAAACATCTGATGCTGAGTTGTATAGCGTTGAAAGTGAGTTTTCTAGTCGGGGACACTCACATTCTGTGAATGATGTATTGCTCGTAGCCGAAAATACAGCAGAAATGCCATTACAACAATCCACAAGTGACCCGACGATAGATGCAAATCTAAGCAAGACGACAAGACAAACTGCAGCTTTGGAATTTGTGCTTTCTCCAGATGCCTCAAAACAAAATCTCTCCGAACTCGTTGAAGACACGCAACGACTGATTAAGCAAATGAAAGACGAAATAAATATAGAGGACTTCGAATCTTCCGAAGAGGAATACACCGACGAATATACAGATGAAGATGAATATGATGATGATGAAGACGATGGAAATTGGGAGGGCTCGCTGGAAGAAGACACAGAATATGATGAAGATGAGCTAACTGAGGATGATATTGATGATGAAGATTATTTTAACGAAGAAGATGAGGAAGGTTTGAGCGCTGAGGATGAAGGCGGTGTAGTTAAAGAAGATATTACCGCTGCGGTCAATGTGATCGAAATTACAGATGAAGTTTCTACAGCTCCTAGCGATGAGCATAACACAGAACATGAAAGTGAAAATCTTAGTGTCACGCACACCAATATGGAAGACCCTATCATTACCCCATCATCTCATACCGAAATCATAATAACCGTCGATACCCCAAACTCAAATGTTATTGATACAAATCATGAAGTCGCCAACAATGCTTTATTGACCAAGCTTGAAAATGAAATTGTGCCTGATTCTAATGCTAATGCTAACCCCATAGAGTCTTCAACTAACGAAATCGAAACCGAGAATCAAACAGAACTGCCCGCAGAAGCCGTGCTTTTAAATGCAAAGAGTATTACAATAACAGCAGAAAGCGCAAGAAATGATGATAAGGTAGACATAACTGCTCCAACTGAGTTACGAGCTGAGACCGAAGAACAAATTGAGACAATTCCAGTCCAACACAAAGAAGCTGAAGATCAATATATGAGCGTAGAGATTATCGCAGTTGACAGCGCTGCCCACGCTTTAAACGAAACGGCTTTAAAAAAACCAGCAGAACAAAATACGAGCAAATTTGTGGTATCTAAACCTGCTACAAGTCCTAAAACCGGCACAGTAAGTAAGATTCCGCAAATAAGAAACGATGCACGCGAAGCATCCACTTCAAAAGCTGCACGAAACGCTTTGAACAATGCACGAAACGATAAACTTATCTCACCAAAAAACAATGTCTTGGCTATTAAACCTCAAGCGGATAAGCCCAAAGCGAAGGAAAGCAAAATACCAAAACAAGCAGCAAAAAAAGTACCTTTACGCTCGAAATCGTTTTCCGGACCACCAGGTCCCATTGGCATTTCTTCGGTAAAGACTATACAGCAAAAGTTTCTCAATCAGCAGAAACAGTTAACGACAAGTTTAGAACCACCCAAAAATCCACCAAATGTAGTACGTAAGAAGTCAATAACCGAAGCTATTACTAAATTTATGCCCAGCACTTCAACGGGTGCCAGTAGTTCCACAGCTACTGCGGTAACCAGCATTTTCCGCACGCATCCACGTATACCTAAGAAGAAATATCACGAAACATGCTTTTCAGATGATGACTTTGAGACGACATCGAGTGAGGAAGAACCGGAACCGCTGGAGATACGTCAACGCAAGATAAGTGTGCCAGTTTTTCGGGCGTACCCCAGCATACAAGAACCGGAAATTGTGCCGCCAGAGGTAATTGTTGTCGCTTTTGCTAAAGTTGTGTCTGTGGCAGATATGAACGCTGTATTTAATATTCGATTTTTTATAATTATCAATAGGTGCTCGTTCAAAAATTCATCGACGAGAAACTAGTCACAAATATCGCTGAAGCGCAAATAGCTGCCACTCTGGTCAATATGCGGTTCCAACAGGATGTTTCACTGTGGGCGGCCAAGGAATGTAGTGACCTCGATCAAGCCATCTCTATGCTACAACAAGAGTGTGAACTCTGCATGGGCACATATCCCATGAATCAAATTGTCTCGATGCTCAAGTGTACACATAAATGTTGCAAACAGTGTGCCAAAACATATTTTACAGTGCAGGTGAGAATCCGACCGTAAAATTTCTTTTGTTTAGATTAAAAACATTAACTTTAAATTGTTCATTAGATTACCGATCGCAGCATCAACGACTGCACTTGCCCGTTCTGTAAGCTGCCTGAATTGCACGGACATAATGAGCACGAGGATGAGAATTTGGAATACTTCTCGAATTTGGATATCTTTCTTAAGAACATTTTAGATGAAGAGGTGCATGAGTTATTCCAGAGAAAACTAAGAGATCGCACACTGTTGCAAGATCCAAATTTCAAGTGGTGCATACAATGCTCATCCGGTTTCTTCGCGAGACCTAAGCAGAAGCGACTCATTTGTCCAGACTGTGGATCCGTAACATGTGCGCAGTGTAGAAAGACGGTGAGTACAAGCGTATAATGGCACTTATATCAAACACAAATACTTCACACTCCTTTTTTTTCCAGTGGGAAAAGCAACACGAGGGTATTTTATGTGAACAATTCAAAGAATGGAAGGAAGCCAACGATCCGGAAGTGCAGGCACAGGGTGTTCAAGAGCATTTGTCACAGAATGGCATTGATTGTCCTAAATGTAAATTCAGATATTCGCTAGCCAGGTTCGTTTGCATGATGCTCTTCTTTATTATGGGTTCCAATTTAAAAGTTATCTTTACTTTGTTCTTCCAGAGGTGGTTGCATGCATTTCACTTGCACGCAATGCAAGTATGAATTTTGTTATGGTTGTGGTAAGCCATTTATGATGGGCGCCAAATGCACAATCTCCTCGTATTGTGCCAAATTGGGTCTACATTCACATCATCCACGGAATTGTCTTTTCTATTTGCGTGACAAGTTACCCATACAATTACAAATGTTACTTAAACGATATAATATACAATACGATGAAGATCCAGTAGAGTTGCCTGACAACCACGTGGAAGATGCATCAACATCAACACCAAAAGTGCCGCGTTGTCCAATACCCTTGCAGAAAGAGACTCCCACAGGTCTGGTAGACACTGTATGCAGTGGCGAAGTGCCAGATAAACACGCTGGAATGTGTCGGTAAGTATGAAATCCAGATCGGACTTAGTCGAAATAAGCGAGACCATTCAAATATTCTTGGGATTATTTAACCTAACAATTATCACTTTTTTCAAAAACCGTTGCTTTGCGTTTCGGACACCTAGATAAAATGATATTCCAAAAAGTGCGTTGGATATCACAATTAAACATCTCCATGACAGATTTTTCAACCATATTGATTTTCAGCTTAATTTAGCTAACAATCACTTAACTGAATAAGCGCTGAAAACCACAAGGACTTAAAATTATTACAAAAAGTTTATATTTAGAGCTTAAATCGATATTCAGCGTGCTTTTTAGACGTGCCACTTCTTTAATGGTATGAAGTTACTTGCGTAAACATATTTTATTTCAACTTTACGGAAAGGAATATAAATGTCTAAAGAGATTTAAAAATCTAAGAAATTCAAATTTTTATTCGATTTTTGAAAATACCATTACTTTCAGAGATCTGTCTCTATCGAGTTTATCTAACCATCGCGTTTTTTTATGTTGCCCATACGCACTCATGTATTTCAGACTGAACTGAAAAAACTAGTTATCTTCCCAGCCAGCGGCCAAAGATAAAAACTAACGACATTTTTAAATGTTATTTTGTTTTTCTTCTTTTAATATTAATTTATTTTAAGTATCAGTATCTAGAGACCATAAATGCAAAAAACTAGTACTAAAGGGTCTGCTAAACAATTTTACTTTAGAATCAGGTGTAAATAGCCGACAAATCTCACTTTTACTTTAAAGGCTAAAAATTCGGTTCAGTTATGTTACTAAAACAAAGAAACAAAAGTAAAACTTATATAAAATATCAATCGACTTTGTGAAGTATTGCTGCTTGCATAATCAATGCATGATATCGTGTCGTTGTAGGTAATATCTGCCGCTAATATCGAAATCCATTCTTCGAAAAATAAAAAACATTAACTTATCTCCCTCTTTACTTGGACTTTTCAGCACCCATTACGTCGAGTACTTGACCGCCAAAGTGGCTAAAGCGCGCATTGATCCACTGCCCATATTCGACCTAACCGATTGTGTGCAAGAGTTAAGGCGACGAGATATACGACTGCCGGAACGAGGTCCATGGGATACAGATGAAATCTATAAAGGCATGTGTTCTGAGGTAAGTTTAGAGAAATGATATGGATACACCATTATTAGGCTACTATTAGACCAATCGTCAAAGATTCCTAATTTATACAACTTTCTTCAGTAATAGTATGCGATTTAATTTAAAAATGAAATAGTATATTAGCTGCCCTACAATTTTTATTAAATATAAAGTTTTGAAAAATAATATAAAGTATATTTATTTGAACTTAAAACTATTGACTGGCGCGCGGGTATCAAAAAAAACACACAAAAAGGGGTTGCCACCTTTTTGTATTTAACTAAAACATTATAAATAGGTGTACAGAGATACGCAAGAAAACAATATGGTATACGAGTATACGAGTACAAGGAGATGAGTTTAAAGAGTTGCCATCTGTCCGCAATGACATTCATTTTTAATAATGTGTTAAATATTTCCAACGCAGTATGGCTATGGAATATCAGTTTATTTTCCCCTTAACTTTTGGGATGTCGATCTGAAATTTTGCAACCCATCTTTTCTTTCCAAATAGCTGCTCACTTGTCGAAATCGCCGATATCGAACAACTATAGCATATAGCTGCCATACAAACTAAACGATTAAAACAATCAAGTCCTTGTATGGAAACTGTTTTATTTTACAAGATATCTTCATGAAATTTGGCTTGGATTATTATCCAGGGCAACGGTATATGGTAAACCTCGAACATATTGTCCAGATTGGACCACTATACCATATAACTGCGTTACAAACTCACCGATCAAAATAAAGATTAGGATATTTTTATACCCTTTTAAGCTATATAAAATGCACCTGTCAAGGGTATATAGCTTCGGTGCAGTTAAAGTTAAGGGTTTCCTTTTTTTTTTGTAGTTTGTATGTTTCTGTTAGTTTTATATCTCTATTTATTTATATTTATTACATTAAAATGTATCATAACTTGCCAGATATATATAAAAACATCAATAAATTACTAATAAAATAAAATTTACCTATTTTCAATTCAACAGGTTATAAAGAAAAATATTCCGCTGGAAACGACATGAGACAGTGTGCCACAAGCTACTTGGACCAATGCACCAGAAACCCAACCATATGCGAGCAACATATGAACGAGATATGTACGAGCGAACGATGTTGTGGGCTGCAAATATTTGAAAAGATGAAAAGGAAAGAAATTAAAATTGAACGCAAATTTAATGTATTATTTTCAACAAATTTTCTGTTTTTTTTATTTCCACTTGTTCATTGTCTTATGTATGTTTATATTCGTCGCAGTCCACTGTATATCTCTTATCCACGCTACTAATCCATATTACTATGAGTAAATGTTCAATTTATATTTTCTAAAGCTTAACTAGTGAATAAAGTATATACATAAAGATAAATGATTTTTTTGCTTAGATGTTGACTTTTGTTTATTTAGACTTCACTTACTTAAGGCAAACGCACATGCACACAAATATTTATATGTATTTACATTCATAAAAGTGATTATAGGGGATATGCGCGCGTCAACAAGTATTAAACACTGTCAAATTTCAGGGTCAAAAAGCCGCATTCTAGATAAATATACTTGTGCGAATACATATACTATATGCATGCATGTATGTACATAATACCAATAAAAATACTTGTATTGTGGGCGCCATAAAGTAGCAAATCATAACAACATTCATATAAATACACAAGTTAACACATCACATCGCATCACATCACATCAATGTCAACGCGACATCACGTCAATGCACTCGTTTATTACAATTCTCCGTTTTAACGAATTTCGCACAACAACAAAAAAATATATAATAAAAATAAAAATAAAATAAAAATTTATATGTAAAATATATTTTTTTTTTGTAAAATATCTCACAAATTAAGTTATTCGCTTTTCATGCGCTGACTTTGACGTGCAACGTCTTCATGCCCATTATTTTAGTTTGCTTATCATAACGACTGGCGTATATTTTTATACGATTTTTCCATTTAAATAAATACTTGCGTTGTATACATTTCAAAATGATTTTGTACAAATCGCATTTTTGAAAATTTAACATTTTTATTCAACATACAGTGCAATAAACCCACCTTTCAACACGCCATTCGATATTTATTCCATTCGTTCGATGCACTTGCTTCGGCCACACGCTCCAAACGATTTCATTTAATGGTCCGTACATTTCCCGTATCAAATTTTCAAAACATTTTCTAGCACATGTTCTAAATAATTTTAGTATTCATTTTTTGATTTTTTTTACGAATCGATTATGTCTCGAAAGGGTGTTATGAGGTGCGTCCGCTGTGAAAGGCAGGTGATTTTTGCGTGGGCACCTACCCTAATGTGCTGGAATTGTGTGTGAATTTGTTTAACACTTTGAGTACCCTCTATATAAATATTAACAAGGAAACTCCTGTAAAATTTAACATTCTACAGAACTCGTATAAGATGTTGCTCTAAATAGCAAAAGCATTTGAGACTAATGAAAACTTGGGGTTAGGTATTAAAGGAACGACATCTGATAAAACTGGCTTCAGAAAACCAAAATAATCCGAATGAAAATAAAAAAGAATAAGAGTGCCATAGAACATCCAAGCTAAACTGCTTAGCTGACCGTCTCACAAGAAAGTGCACCCTTGTCTCGAATATATCGAATTACGAACGAGCTGGTTTTCCGTTTCCCTATTTTGTTCTAACGCTGAACCTCCAGACTTTGCGTGAGCTTAGCAGGCGCTGGTCAACAACTAGCTCCTGTGTGACCGTGAGATTCTTCTGGCCTAATTGCCAAAGTTGTATGGAGGAAGGAGGGTTGAAAACATTCAGCCGCCTTTTCCTCCATTGTCGCACTTTTGTAAGACTGAGGTTGAAACTCTGAAGTCTTATTTTCGGCGAAAGTAGGGAAGAAGCCCACATTGATATTAACCGTCTCAACTAATTTGGGGCATGCTCAAACGCTTTGTCGGTTTTCGAGAGTCTTTTCGACCATTACTTAAGAGCATTTAGGTGTCGGAATGGACCTGCGTTCCTAGTTGTAGTAGATCAAAAAAGAAAAATAAAAATAAAAAGGTACGAGGAAGAGAGGGACAGATAAGGACTAGCCGTTTGGGGTATTTTCTCACCCTCATACTACAAAAACCAAACGGCAACGCGTTAATAAGTTTTAAATCAAGATTTATTTCTTCACCGAATTTGAATATAACATTTAGGGAGGGTAAGAGTAAAACCGTTGGTAGGAACGAAGGTATGGGCAAACGCCTGTCACAATGTGTTTTTTTTTTTTTGCTTAGAATAATTCATAGAGCATAAGGGTTTTTCAAGTAGAATAATTGAGGTGGTTTTATCAAAACAATATATTGAACTTGTAGACTTCAAACTTTCCTAGGCATATATGAAAAAATATTTTGGAAATGAGGCTTTAGTGTTAAATAGTTCTATTCTCGTCGAAAAGTTTTACTTACTGATGTGAGACCTCTTAAGTTCCTCGTAGAAAGCAATTACTGTGCAATCAAACACATATATTCTCAATGGGTTAACATAACTACTAATTTGTGAAAAAAAAAATTTTTTTTTTTGTTTACTTACAATTGTCCATTTTTAAACTGTCCGCTGATGGATTTGTATTATTCATAAAATCGATTTGTTTAGATTTGAATTTTTATGACTTTAAAGGCAAATATTAAATGGACACAATAATGAATGGATCCAGCTAAATTTAATTAGCGTACTACGTCAGGTGTTAGCCATTGTATACACATATGTATGTTTGTACTACGCATAACCAATTCTATTTTCATGTGGGGGAACATCCGTTAATGCAAGTGACTCACATTGGCGACCATGGATATTTGCGTAATACAAATTTTGAAATTTCCTGGAAGAAAACAGCTTGAATAGTAAGCATCACAAAATATATATATACCATACATACATATGTGGACTTATTTAAACAGATTGTATATCATTCATCAAAAATATGCAACAAAACACTATTGACCTCTTAATAGGGTTATGTCGACAGCAAACATTTATTTTCCTGTCTTTCTTTTCTTATGGAGCTCCAAGTATGGTGTATAATTGATTTTAGCAATTCTTTATGCTTGTATATATGTAAATGTATAATTACGAAGCAAAAAGTACTTGCAGCATTGAAAACGAAACCCTTAGAGTACGCAATGTTTTGTGAAAATTAATAATGTGTGAACATAATTACGTGCATAATCGAAAATCGCGAGCCGAAGCCACTTGAATGCTTTGGTTTTGGCATACGTGGGTGCATTGGTAGTCATCCTTGTTAAGTCATCTCATCTCGTAAAGTGGATCAATTTTGAGACGGAGATTTAAAGCCTGCAAAAAACTTCATTTGCCGAATTTAATTATAATATTCACCATATTTTCAAGCCGAATATCTACCGAAAGGTAGAAAAAAACATTTTTTGAGACTATGTTGAATCGAACTACAAAATAGCAATGACAAAAATTTAAGAAAAATTTTTAGATTTTTTACAAAGATTCGATAATATCTAAGTAATATAATAGCATTTGATCAAACTTGACTCGGACTAACAAAAAATTACATTTTCACATATTTTAATACAAATATTTGCGCCTTCAAAATACGCTGCTGCGCCAACGCTTTATCCTCCTATTACTCTTTAACCACCCCTAGTAATGAGAAGTAGGTCAATAAACTCATATTGCTTTTATAATTACTTCCGGCATATTAAGAGCATTCAATTGACTGTCTTCATTGGTTATTTTCTTAATAACAATTATACTTAGAGCAATTTCTTTTTTTTTATGAAGCAGATGCCAAACAAAATATGTGACAAAATTAAATATATTAAAATAAAAATGTATTAGTTTTACTTTCATCATTTAAAGATATGGTATTGAATGTAAAACGTTTCGTAAGGAGCCTTATGGAGTTATAGTAAGATAACTACAGGCTATACGAAGAGTAAAGTATATAGAAGTTACGTCATACGTCATTAGATAACAGGTAATTCTTTAGACATTTTGAAAAGTTTCTCTTAGCACTTGTGGGGCTTATATTGACTCTGGAAAAGTTATGATCAACGATGACGGATTTTGCGAGATATTTTTAAGGTAGAAAAGCTCTCGGAACTTTCGCTCATATCCGCTACCAAGCAATCTCATTCCACACACCTCTAACTCTGCATCATATCTTTCAATCCCAAAAAACTCGCCTCATTTAAGATTTCATACCTGACTACAAATTGACGTATTGGAAAATAAATATAGTATAAATAATTCAAATTTTTTACTATGAATCATTTGGCGCGAATTAAACGCTTGGCAAAATACAAACAGTTTTTACCAACTGTATTCAGGTTAAGACGATTTTGTATCAATCTCAAATACCTAAACGATAACTATAATTTCCAATAGCCTCGCGAGCATTTTGCATGCATATTGAAAATTTCGGAAAAGGGGTCATTATGCGGGCAATAAAATTTCTTTGGTCGAGAAATGTTCACGATTGCCTTGGAATTATTTATAGAAAGCGCGAGCTTAAAATAAGCTCATACATAAGGAGGTATGTACTGGAAAAACAAATAATCACACATAGAAAATTTATTTGTTTATTGTTACAACTTTTTATTGCGTACTACCTGGGTGTGAAGTACAAAAACAATATGTGCATATATTATATATATTATATTTTCCCGTTAGTTAGGTAGCCGCTTTGTTAGCGGTCAAGTTGCGGTTAAAGACATTTTTATATACCTAAATAATACAAGTATATACTCACTACCTTCCGAAGTGAAGGCTCATTACGAGGTTTAGAAGAGTGAACAGAAACTCTCTCTGGTTTGCAATCTTATTAATAAGCGTATATTGAGAATCATTTTCGATATATAACAAAATATATTTTAAATATAATAAAAATAAATATCATATTAACCGAAATACATCGTACAAATATCATCACGCAATGACGAACGTACGGTAATGGATAAAAAAAAAACTATATAATTTCGTCTCACAAGGCTCTAACCTTAATCTGGAGCAACCTTATCTAGAGCAACGCATTTGTTGTAACGATGAAACTTCCAGATCTAGCTCTTGACCTCCTCATTTGAGTGAAATCTTTTTTCAGAGATTCGCTTTTTCAGTCTGGGAAAAATAAATTAATCACTGGGGCCCGAATCTGTTAAATACAGAGGTTGGAGGACTAGTTTAGCGCGTTGTGATGTTGAAAGAGCAACCCGGCACCCATGACGCGGAATGCTTTTTTATTTGTAAAAGTTTTTGAATGGTAGAACTTTCACGTATCTCTGGAATGCCAATTCGCCAACAAATTTTCACGAATTTTCGCGATGTTTTAGTAAAAAAAACTGCCTTTCGAATGGTTGATGTAGAGTGCATACCATCTGATCAAAT